CTCAAAAAAAAAAAAAGGGTAAAAAAATGTCCTCAGACCAGAAATTAGTAAATCACTAGTTTACTGTTTCTCAGCTATGATCATACATTTGAATTATCTGGAAAATTTTTTAATAATAGACCAATGAAATCTCAATTTGAGAGCCATTTTCTTGCCTTTTATCTAAGCAGTAGTGACTTGGTGATAGCTAAGGAAATTGCCCATTAGTTGTTCAATGTATTCTTGCTCAGGTTCCTATTATAGGAGTGAGGGAAGAAACAGCAAGATTGCAGAAAAATGTCATAGGTTTACAGCCTACATTGAAACTAGGGACAAATCATTTTATTTCTCTTTGGTTTACATTCCTCACCCATGTATTAAAATTCCCAATGTGGAAAACATCTGAGTGATCATTTTTAAGTGAGGGGTAAGTTCTGTTATAATCTACCTAGAACTTCTTAAATATAGGGAAAATATTTTTGAAAAACATGAATAAATTAAAGTACAGTAATCATTGTGGCACAAAATGTTAGTTTAATGATCTTACTAACATTACTAAAATTACTAACTTACTAAAATTACTTTTCTTGTGTTTTTCACTATTGCTTTTTAGCAGATTTATTGCAATATAACTCAGCATACAGTTCACCCATTTAAAATGTAAAATTTAATGACTTGTTGTATATGTTCACAGAATTGTGTAACAATTACCCCAGGACACTCATCATGTCTAGCCATAAGGAAACTCCTGAACTATTTTTTTAAAGATTAATTTTATTTTTTTATGCATAGATGATCTGGGGTATAGGCCAGAGGTGTGGGGCTGGGGGATGAGAGAATTCACAAGAGACAGAATGGGAGCAGATCAGGCAGGGGTACTAAAATACACTGTTGAACGGAAAGGTCTGTTGAGATAGGAGAGGTCTGCTGTGCCATCTGGGTCACCTCCCTGCCTGGGGATTGAACTGGTGCTACAGTGGCTGCCAATAGCCTCATTGTGCTGAGACTTAACCCCTTGTACCACCAGGGAGACCCTAAATCCTGAACTATCAATCAATCCTCACTTTCTCTTCACTCAGTCCTAAGCAATCAGGAATCCCTTTTTGTCTTTATATATCTGCCTATATTGGGCATTTCATGTAAATGGAAGCTTAGAGCATTATGTATCCTTCTATGTCTGGCTTATAGTTAATAGTTTTAGCTCTTACACTTTATTGTTTTATCCATATAGAGTTAATTGTTGTATGTGGTAGGCAGTAGTGGTAAAACTTTAACTCCTTTGTGTTTGAATGTCTGATTATCACAGCACCTTTCATTGAGAAGACCTTTCACTCCCTCTCTGAATACTCTTTACATCCTTGTCAAAAAATCATAAATGTAAAGGTTTGTTCTGGACTCACTTATTTTTTGTAAGATTTATTTATACATACAGAACTGGGGTATAGGCCAGAGGTGCAGGAGGTTAGAGGATCCACCAGAGACAGAGTGGGGAGCAAAACAGACAGATGGACTGAAATATACTGCAGAGGAGAGCAGTGGGTGGGTCAGGAGAGGTCTGCCATGCCACATGGGTCACCTCCCTGGCCAGGTATTGAACTCATGCTGCAGTGGCTGTCATAGCTTCCTAGTGCTGTGCTTTAACCCATTTCACCACCAGGGAGGGCCCTGGACTCATTTATAAGTTTGTGGTAAACTTTAAATGAAATATTAATCTGAAAACTTTGTCATTTTCAAGATAGTTCTGAATTTCATATATTTCTGCTGCTTCTCTTTTGAATTAATTAATCAGTTGTTTCCATGTCCATATATCTTTGAGATTACATTTTTACTCCTCCATGGCATTCATGCGCTTTATTCACTTTCCATCAGACCTGTGCCAATGCTCTATCTCTTTCCTTTCCCATCCTCTCCTTCCTCCTTACTCTTACCTCTGGTGACTAGTATGTATTTTACTACATATAAGAATTGTTTCTTCTGTGCTTCGCAAGTGTCTGTTTTTGGTTATTTATGTTCAACAGGTAAGTGAAACCATCTAATATCTATTTTTATGTTCTGACTTTTCACTTGTATAGTGAGCCAGAGATTCATCCATTTTTGTCTCACAGGTGCTGTTCCATATTTTTTAAGTAAAGGAGTAGTATTCTACTCTTTTCTTTATTGTCACCTACCAGTAGGCATTTAAATTGGTTCCATGACTTGGGAATTGTGGAAAGTGATACTATGACAATTTTTTTGCACTTCTATATGGGCTTCATATTTCATTTCTAGATGGATTTCTCCAAATAAATAAAAAAAAGGTAGCTGTAATTTTGATAGAGGTTGCATAAAATATGATGATTAATTGAGGTTATATTGCCATCTTAAATTTTTTAAGTCTTTCCATCCATGTACAGATTTACATAGACCTTCTTTGGCAATAATTTTCATAAATATAAAACACATTTTATATTTCCTTTGACCTTATTCCTAAGTTTTTGTTTGTTTTTGTTTTTTTTTACTTTGATGCTATTACAAGTAAATCATTTTACTGAATTCTTTTTTGGGTTGTTCATTGCTACTATATACAATCAACAGAGTGATTTTTGCATCTTGATCTTGTATTCTACAACTTTGCTCAACTTATTATTAGTCTAATAGGTTTTTAGTGGACCTTATACCCCCACAGAAATTAACTCAAAATGGATCATGGGCCTAAATGTAAAATGTTAAGCTAATAAAACTCCTAGAATAGAAGAAAATATAGATGGTCTTGGGTATGGTGATGACTTTTTATATATAACACCAAAAACAGGATCCATGAATAAATTAATAGCTTAAATGAACTTAATTAACATAAAGTTCTGCTCTTAAAAAATTCAAGAGAGGGCCCTCCCTGGTGGCGCAGCGGGTTAAAGCACAGCACTGAGAATCTAAAGCCGCTTCCGCATGAGTTCGATCCCCGCCTGCCCCGGAGGTGACCCACATGGCGCAGCAGACTTCTCCTGACCCGCCCGCTGCTCCCCTCAGCGGTGTACTTCGTCGATCTGCCTGTTCTGCTCCCCACTCTGTCTCTGGTGAGGCCTCTTACCGCCCCTGAGCCTCTGGCCTGCACCCCAGTTCTGTATGCACAAATAAATAAATCTTTAAAAAAAAAAAATTCAAGAGAATTAGGGCCTCCCTGGTGGTATAAGGGGTTAAAGCACAGCACTCTGAAAGTATCCACAGCCACTTGCATTATGAATTTGATCCCCAGCCAGGGTGGTGACCCACATGGTGCAGCAGACCTCTCCTGTCTTGCTTCTGTTCCCTTCAGCAGTGTATTCAGTAGATCTATTTGTCCTGCTCCCCACACTGTCACTGGTGAATCCTCTTACCTTCCACACCTCTTGCCTGTACCTCAGCTGTTATATGCATAAATAAATAAATCTTTTTTTAAACTCAAGAGAATTAGAAGACAAGTAATAGAGTGGGAGAAAATACTTGCAAAAGACTTCTGATAAGGAATGTTATCCAAAATATATGAACAGTCCTTTAAACTCAGTAATAAGTAAACAAGCAATTCATTAAAAGATGGCCAAGGACCTTAGCAGATGACTCTCTGAAGAAAGATACACAGAGAGTAAATAACCATATGAAAATATGTTCCACATCTCTGAAGAAAGATATACAGAGAGTAAATAACCATATGAGAATGTTTCCCCATCATCAGGAAAATGCAAATTACATTATGAGAAAACATTATGAATTTGATCCCCAGCCAGGTGACCCACTCAATCCAGCAATCCTGTTTCTTGGCTTACCCAAAAGAGTTGAAACTTAAGTCCACATAAAACCTGGACAAGAATGTTTATAGAAGCTTCTTTAGGGGTGAGGAATGGGATTAAAAATAGGGTGGGAAAAAGGTGCATGGGACTATGGTGATGGTACACGGGTGAATAGGTGGTGGGAAGTCCATGGGGATTACAACTGAGATAGAAAAAAGCACAAAATCAAGAATGATATCAAAGTAAATTTTAAAGAATCATAATAATAATAAAAAGAAGCTTCTTTATTATTTGCCAAAACTTGAAAGCAATCAAGGTGTTCCTTAGTAGGTGAATGTATAAGTAAATAGTGACACATCCAGACAATGGGTTACTATTAATTCAGTGCTGATAAAAAAGCTATCAAGCTGTGAAAAGATGAGGCACCATAAATGCATACAGTGACAGGAATCCATTCTGAGAAATGCATCATTTGGTAGTTTCATCATTGTGCAAATGTCAGGGTAATTACACAAACCTCAGTGATAGAACCTCCTACTCACCTGTAGTGGCTGTATCGTAGCCTGTGGAATCACCATTTTTGACAGAAATGTCTTTAAGTGACACATGACTAATCTGAATGAAGCCATTCTTAACAGACTTCCTACTATGGTTCCAACTATATGATATAGTTGGACAATTCTGTAGACAATAAAAAGACAAAAAGATCATCCAGGGATGGGGGATATTGCTAGGCCATGCAACAAAGGATTTTTAGGGCAGGGAAAACCGTATATGCTGTTATAATGATCTGCATATATCATTATTGTGTTTTTGTTTAAAATTATAGAAGGTATGATACCAAGTGTGACACCCCCCCCCCCAAAGTAGACTGTATTGATACTTTGGATGATTAGTTGTGTCAATGTTGATTCATCTTTGAAACAAAAAAGATGCTGTTATGGTGAGTGATAATTGACAGTGGGGGAGGTTTTGTTGTGTGGGAGTGGGATTTATCATTGACTTTTTTTAAATATATGCATAGCCCCTTGGGAGCATTTAAAGAGCCTATGGAAAATTAGGGTCTTGACTGTTCAGTTCAATATTCTGCCTATGACACCATAGATCCTTTTATGGGAAAACAAAACATGCCTAATTAAAAACTAGACTTGCTTTCAGTGGATTTATATAAAAACCATTAACTGCTTTTTATAGTTTTCTGCTTATCAGCATAAATTATTTATAATTTCCTTGAGTGATATTAATTACTTTTGATCCTTGTTTTGTTTGTGGTCCTAGATTGGTTCATTCTGGTTCTGGATGTCGATCACCCTCGCTTGGATCTGACCTCACGTTTGCTACCAGGACAGGCTCTCGGCAGGGCATTGAGATGCATCTCTTCAGGGTAGAGACTCATCGGGATCTGTCAACCTGGACCAGGATACTTGTGCAGGGTTGCCATGCTGCTGCTGAGCTGATCAAGGAAGTCTCTCTAGGTAGAGATCCTAGTATTTCATTTCTAATAGTTAGATGGAACTTGATTTTTAAAGCAAAACTATTAACTTGTGTGCTAGATTTAAGAAATATTCTGAAATATGGCAGCTTAAAGTCATCATGGTTTCTCTGTTTCACTAGGAAAGTTTTTCTTAGCCTTGTCCATGATTCTTGAACATATTCATAACACCTAATGTACAACATGGCAGTTTTACTGTTTACCATTTTATCCTGTTTGATAAGTAAGGACTGATAATAGTAAGTGTTAGATTCATTGATCATCTAGTTAAGAAGATTTGGATTCTAAGTTATGGAGACACACTCTTAAAATAAGAGCACCCAGCAGAGCTTATAATTATAGAAAAGCAAAGAATTTATATCAAGTTGTTTCTCTTCAAAATTTTGAAAATGTGTTCTAGTAGTCAGTGAAACAAGCATCTATAGGAAATAAGCTTGGTGCTTTCTTTCCACTCTTGAAGCGCCCTCTTCTGGTGTTTTTTTGACATGTGTGTCTGTGTTTGTATATAAACATACACATGAATATGTGCACATGTATATACCCAGATACCAAGAATAGAGAAATAATAAAAATTAAGACAAAATTACAATTTCTAGTATGGTTTGAATATTTTGATTTCCATTTGGTTTACTTCATTTTGTTCTTATTTATATATTTTATAAACCTGGTTTTAAAGAATATGTAAAAAGAGGAAATGATTCAATATAGTTTGTTTCCATTTCTTTGGAAACTGAGGGATTTCTACAGCTTTAGCCAGCATTTTCCTGGGTCATTTTCTTTCTTTCTTTCTTTGTTTATTTATTCATACAGAACTGAGGTACAGGCCAGAGATGCGGAGGGTGAGAGGGTTCACCAGAGACAGAGTGGGGAGCATAACAGGCAGATCGACAAAATACACTGCTGAGGGGAGCAGCGGGAGGGTCAGGAGAGGTCTGCCACGCCGTGTGGTCACCTCTGGAGCAAGCAGGGATCGAACTCATGCGGAAGTGGCTTAAGCTTCTTAGTGCTATGCTTTAACCTACTAAGCCACCAGGAAGGGCCTCCTGGGTCATTTTCTAACACTGGCACAGGACAGTTTTTTAACATTGTCAAAATGATGCAATTCCTCAATTATTTGGGAGCTGCCTAATATTTTCTTCACAACTACTGTGATAATTCAAGCAATGACAACAATTATTTGTCATAGCTTACCTTGGATTTCAACTCAAGCTGCCACACTGTCTTCCTTATTTGTCTGTCTCTCCCTGGTTTTTCTGTGGGGTGGTTGGTCACCTCGTTCAGGACAGTGAGGCTCTGGCCCCAGCATGCGCTTTTGGGGATGGGCATGTCCTCATCTGCCCTTTTACTAGCATTTGGGGTCACCTTATCTTCTTTGAGGATTCAGATCCTTTTCAAAACAAAGGGTGCAGTTTGGATTTTTAACATTTTTTATTTTCATGTTGTTTCTTTGGTGTCTGGCAGCTAAGCGTCATCTTTCAGGGAACCAAAACTGTCCAGTTCCTGGCTCAGAGTTGTTTATACTTTTTTTAAAAAAGAGATTTATTTTTATTTATTTATGCATACAAGAACTGGGGAATTAGGCCAGAGGTATGAGGAGTGAGAGGATTCAGCAGAGATAGAGTGGGAAACAGAAAAGGCAGAGCCACTAAGATACACTGCTGAGAGGAACAGTGGGCAGGACAGGAGAGGTCTGCTGTGCCATAGGAGTCAGCTCCCTAACTGGGATGTAACTCTTGCCACAATGGCTGGTGGTAGCCTGATAGTGCTGAGACTAACCCCTGCGCCATCGGGGAGGCCCTGTACCAGATATATTGAACTGACTGTCCTCCCTGGTGGAACAACAGGTAAAAGCACAGCACTACAGGACCCTCCCTGGTGGCGCAGCGGGTTAAAGCACAGCACAGAGAAGCTAAAGCCACTTCCTCATGAGTTCGATCCCTGCCTGCCCTGGAGGAGATCCACATGGCGAGGCAGACCTCTCCTGACCCGCCCGCTGCTCCCTCAGCAGTGTACTTCGTCAATCTGCCTGTTCTGCTCCCCACTCTGTCTCTAGTAAATCCTCTCACCCTCTGCATCTCTGGCCTGTACCCCAGTTCTGTACGAATAAATAAATAAATCTTAAAAAAAAAAAAAAAAAGCACAGCACTACAAAGCTAGACATAGCCGCTTCAGCATGAGTTTGATCCCAGACCAGAGGGATGACCCACATTGCACAGCAGACCTCTCCTGTCTCACCCGCTGCTCCCCTTAGCAAGTGTACTTCGTCAGTCTTCCTGTTCTGCTCCCCACTCTCTCAGGTGTCTCTAGTGAATCCTCTCACCGCTGCTGCACCTCTGGCCTGTAGCCCAATTCTGTATGCATAAATAAATAAATCTTTTTAAATAAGTAAATAAATGACTCATTCTTTTTTTTCTCCTTCTTACATCTTTCATCTTTAGCCACCTCTGTACAGTGATTGTTTAGTTTTAAAGATTTATTTATTTATGCATACAAGAACTGGGATGTAGGCCAGATGTTTGGGGTGGGGGTAAGTAGTTTCAATAGAGACAGAATAGGGAAAGCAGGCAGATCTATTGAAATACACTGCTGAGGGGAGCAGTGTGGGAGACAGGAGAGGTCTGGTGTACCATGTGGGTGAGCTTCCTGGCTGGGGATCGAACTTGTGCTTCTGTGGCTGCCAGTAGCTTCATAGTGCTGAGACATAACCCTTTGTGCCACCAGGGAGGTCCTGGGGTCACACATTCTTAAGAAAAGATTCTTTTCCCTTCTTGGAATTCAGAAGAATCCCATTCCACTTGCTAACTGAAGAAGGACCTTTATTAACGATGATATCTGCTGTCTTCAACAGGCTGCACATTAAATGGGCAGGAAGTAAGACTCACTGTCCACTATGAAAATGGGTTCAGTATCTCCAGGGAAAATGGAGGTTCTGGCAGCATGTTGTATCGATACCCCTTTGAAAGGCTGAAAATGTCTGCTGATGATGGCATCAGAAATCTGTATCTGGATTTTGGTGGTCCTGAAGGAGAACTGGTAAGTTTCGGGAAAAAATGTGTTTATTGTAGTAAGTATTTTCTTTCTTTATTTCCTGTCTCTTATATTAGAAACTCAGGAACTGAATCTTCATTTGGAGCCAGGAAATGGTTCTTCACTTTTTAGGATGCAGTTTTTTAAGGTTTGGATTTTTGGTGTTTTGTTATTTTTTTACTCCCCACACTAGGAAATAATTCCCATTTTAAAATTTTTATTTGAATGTTAGAAAAAGTCCTTTTTAAGAAATAGACTGTTATAAAAACATAAAGTATTACAGCTGACAAACTTTATTAAACAAATTCTATCTATTGCTGTTAGCAGCAGTTTGTTGAGATAAGAATCAAAAGTAATAGTGTGATTTGCTATAGAAATTCTATTTCTATCAGACATAAAGATGGAGATATAGGCACAAAACCATTGTCTTTTGACCTCCTTGTCCTTTAAAGGAAATATGAGCAGAAAGTCGTGATCTCTCCTTAGAGAACTAGAGGAGTATATCAAATATACTTCAGAAATCACAGGTGTGATAAAGGAGATAAACAGTGTCCTTTGATTGAACCTGTAATTCTAGTATTATCATACATGATCATAATCTTAAGTCCATTGACATAGTCAACAGTGTGTATAAGCTTGAAAAATGAAAGAGATCTTATAGATAATATAATTCAAATTCCAAATGAGAAACCATAACTAGAAATCTAATTTTAAATGATGAACCTTTATGAGACCATCGATAGGCTACAGAACAACCGTGAAGTATTCGTGAGAGTTAAATGCTTCTTTCTATAAAATTAACCAGTTATTAATAGCAGTTTCCATTTGGCAAGCCAGTTGTTAGATTATTTTTGGATATTTGTTTGTTTGTTTTTTTAAGATTTATTTATGTATACAAGAACTGGGGTAAGGCAAGAAGTGTGGAGGGTGAGAGTACTCACCAGAGACAGAGTGGGGAGCAGAACAGACAGGTCAAGTGAAGTACACTGCTGAGAGGAGCAGCGGCAGGTCAGGAGAGATCTGCTGCACCATGTGGGTCAGCTCCAGGGCAGGGGTCAAACTTGCATTGCAGTGGCTGCAGACAGCTTCATATTGTGCTTCAACTCATTGCACCACCAGGGAGGGCCCGGGCATGTGTTTTTAATCCCTGCTTTACATTTAAAACATAAAATTTAGAGATGAAATTAGTGCTTTTTAATAAAGTTGTAATTTTCTTTAAAAGGCATGGTTGATTAAGCTGTATCCTATTCCTGATCTCTGTTATTGGTACCAACCACTTGACTCAGGCAGCCTGACCCCAAGTGTCCTTATTCATCCGGCACTAGCTGTCAATGTTAGAGGCCTGTTCTTGGGAAGGTGTAACTAGAGTTGTGATTCCTTAACTGTCTCAAGTGTTGTGCTCCCCTCACAAACCCACCAGGACTGTCAAAATTATACTCATAGGTGATCGTGCTGCTGCTTAGTTCACTGTAGTTCCTCCACCCTGGAAAATACACAATGATCTCCATAGAGATTTTTCATTCTTGCATTCTCTTTTTTTTAATTCTTCCTACCTGCATGGTGGAACTTGTCCATTACCAATTGTACCCTAATTGTGGATGTGAAACCTCTCACTGGTGTTTAATTACAAGGTAGAATAACTTTACTTATGATTATACTTTCATTTGTGGATTTAAGTTCTCAAGAGTTTCTATAGCTCAGCATTTTCTTTATCCAGGTTCTTTTTATTTATTTATTTAAAGATTTTATTTATTTATGCTTAGAGAAATAGGATACAGGTCAGAGGTACAGGAACAGCAAGAGGGTTCACCAGAAACAGAGTGGGTTGCAAAACAGGCAGATGGACAAAGTACACTGCTGAGAGGAGCAGTGGGCCAGACAGGAGAGGTCTGCTATGCCATGTAGATCTCCTCTGGGGCTGGGGATTGAACTCACACTGAAGTGGCCACAGCTTGGCTTAGCTTCACAGAGCAGCACTCCAAACCGCTGTGCCATCAGGGAGGGCTCCTATCCAGGCTCTTTTTTTTTAAATATTTATTTATTTATGCATTCAGAACTAGGGTACAGGCCAGAGGTGCAGTGCCGTGAGAGGATTCACCAGAGACAGAGCGGGGAGCAGAACAGGCAGATCAACGAAGTACACTGCTAAGGGAAGCAGTGGGCGAGACATATGGATCACTTCCGGGGCAGGGATTGAACTCATGCTGAAGTGGCTTTAGCTTCTCAGTGCTGTGCCTTAACCCGCCACGCCACCAGGGAGGGCCCTCTCCAGGTTCTTTTTAAAAAGAATACCCCATTCAGATTTATTGTGCACATTAGTTTCTTCAAGCATCTGTATTTGGTAGTGATAATTAACGTTCTTTTTCTACAGACCATGGACCTGCACTCTTGTCCGAAGCCGATTGTATTTGTGTTGCACACATTCTTGTCGGCCAAAGTCACTCGCATGGGACTGCTAGTATGAGCAGCAGAGTCTGAAAATAGCCTTGAATGTCCCAAGAAGTTTTCCACCTCAAAAAAGAAAACAAACAAAAAGCACAAAAAGAAAGCTCTTTGCTCTCCTCCAGCACAGTGCCTTGACCAGGACCTGCAAATCACTGCTGAACCATAACCATGTTTGAAGAAGAGCTGACCTTTTACAAGCTACCTTGGCCAGAAACTCGAGGATTCTAATAATCTCCAAAATGAAGTTATTGACTTATTGTCCAGTTTCCTAATGTGGTCTATAAGTACTTAGGTGTATTTCCTCTCTTAAGAAGGGTAGCTCACTGTTGTTGTTTTTGGACATAATCAAATATCCAAGAGTTGTTTTCTTTTCCTTCCTATAGAATTTGTTTCAGCCTTATCCTAAGTTTCTTGCTTAGGATGACTGTGTTCCCAGGTGCTAATTCACAGCAGTCTGTGTTCCTTGGTCTTTCCATATAGGTCCTACATTTTGCTGGAGTTTATTGTCTGCACTTGCTATTTCCACCCTGGGAAGCCCTTGAATTTCATTACCAAAGCACTCTTCCATCTGTCCTGGCTCCAGCTACATCCCACCCTGGCCACTGCTTCCCACCACATCACAAGCTCTGCCACTCATAGTGCTAACTTTAGGACTTAGAACTTGAAACATTTGATCTGCCTTGCCTTCCATTACCTTTCTAGTGGTGACCAAGTTGAGAAGCAAGTTGGAAACCACTGTTTTGAAAGAAAAGTTTTGTTTAAGTTTTTCTGATTTTTATCTTTGGTAGGAGCCAGGAAATGTTACAGGATTAATTTTAAAAGAAAATTCACATTGTAGCCTAAGCCATTTTTTATTGCATACCAAATGTGCCTTTGGTTAGGGTCAGTGGAGCTTTATTAGTCACTCTTTGAATAACTGGATATCACTGCCATACCAGAGGGATAATCTATCGTAGTTTTGAGGAATAGTCTTTGAGGTGGATTTCCTGAAAGGTTTCTTTTCCAGAGGGAAGATCCTTTGAGAGAGATAAAACCTGGAGAGCCAGCTTGTTTAAAAAGCAGACTTATGAATGCGGCCGACTCTTCAACACAAACATCACCCATGATCCTGGCACTGGCCCTCTCCTTTTGTGGCAGCACAGTGGCATGAACAAGCAGCTGCTAATTCAAATGTCAGTGTTTGTTTAATATCTTATAGTGGGCAGGGTGATGAGACCATAAAAAGCTACCTGGATTTTGCTAAGCATTACTAATGTCATCATTAGGAAAGAGAGGCAGAAATGGTTGATGTTGTGGTGTTACAGAATCATACTCAACTTGTTTTTCCTAATTATGAAGGAGGTATATATCTGAAAACTTTGGAAGTCATGTGATAGCTTTATAAAATGTCAACATTAGGACAGTCCTTAAATCTGAAAGCAAAGATGATGTTGACTTAGATGTTCTCTCTATTCTTTGAAAAATCTAGGATTAGTTCTCGCTAGCTTAAAAGTGTGACACTGGAGGGCAGAGGAGAGTGGCACTCCAAATAGGAGGGAAATGCAACTATAGATGTAAAACATGAGCTATTTGGTTGGAGTGCAGACTGACATAGGTGGGACATGTGAAAAATCACAGACCTGTAAGTAAGAGAATTCTAGTTAGATATTGAAATCCCACTGTCTGACACCTGTCAGTAAGTCAGTACTCCTTCCCTTTATACAGCTTGGTTACCTCAGCTCAAGTTCCCAGAGTGAGTGATCTGATTCACTTAAAACTGGAAGTTGAAATCTAAACTATATCTGTCTTTTAAGACCTTTTAATATTTAAAAAGTTCATAGACCTAAGTTTAGTTCCATCTGGAATGAGTCTGCAAGTCAGGCAAGAAAAAAAAAATCTTGAAGGTTCAGCTGTGATTTCTGGAAGAAGAATTTCAACACAGAATTTCAGATAGGAGAGCTTAGACACAGTGAGTGTTAGTAATCTGAGATGATAAATGATACATTCATGTGTCATATAGAGACAAAGCCATGTGATCACATTTTTTCTGTCTTTACATGAGAGCTCCCACCTGAGATGATTTTCAGGGGGAACTTCTAAGTCTCCTGTTCATAAGTTATATGAAAAAAATCTGTAGAAAAGGTGTGATTAAAAAGTGGGGCATAGAGGGAAGGTGTTAGTGCATTTGGGCTCATTTCATTTGTTTTAATTGCCATGTCTAGCACCAAGGGCCATAGAGGTTTTAATATCTTCTGAGTCTTGATGTGAAATGAAAGTGTATGCAGATTTATTTGACAACTACTAGCACCCCCAAGAGCAAGGACCCTTAAGCTGCTTGTGTAACTTCAACAGTATTCTAATCATGGGCCACCAGGTTGTTCTTTGTAAATGTGTGTGTGTGTGTGTGTGTGTGTTGGGGGGTGTTCAGAACACAAATGAAGTGATTTACAAATGGGACAACCTTGAATATGTATTTTGTACTCAGATGCCAAAATATGGCAAAGTATTTTCAAATGATAACTAAAAGTGGGCATTTTCTGTATTTCATATGTTTTATAGAACAGCTGACTTTTCATTTCTTTTTCAATTTGAGTCAGGAAAATTGTCAAGAATGTTGGGGGCTTCTGCCTAGCAAATTAGAAGGAGCTGTAGAGTAATATCCCCCTCATTCCCATGGACTACTTCCTGTGGCCCCCTAAGACGTGAAGCTTAGAAATCTTCTCCATATTCCACACAGAAGTCTAGAAGCAGCCAAATGGTGTGTGAATGTTCTTCCTACTTTCTCTAAAACTTCTTCCCTTTCTGTTCCCCACCCCATCCCACCCCCACCCTTGCCTGGAAAAAGAGGAAAGAAATGGAGCAAAAGAAACAGGCTCATTTATATTGTTCTTTTTCTGAAAAAGGTAAGTCCTTTCCTTAAGTCATCAAATGAATCTTACCTGGAAACAAACTATGTAATATTTTATATGAAGAAATGCTTTAATGTATATCTATACACTATTTATTAGATAGTTGTAACCGTAAACTCACCTACTTAGTAGACAGAGTTTCAGTTTTAAGTATTGGGCATGTACAGGCAATCAAAAATATTGCTTTAGATGTCATTCACCCATTTTAAAGCCATGTTTTAGCACTTTTTAGGCTTGATAAAGCCTGATAGTGCCTGTTTTTACATCTTTACTCTTAAGAGATTTGTTACTGAAAATTATTGCATGGCAGAAGAGATTAAATTATTTATTTCTTATATTTTTATAAGTGGAAAAAAATCTCTCTAACCAACATGATTAAACTGGTGACTGATTATTTGTTTTCTGAACTTAATCTTCTAAGCAGAATGGTAATAAAGCTTTTTTCAGTTGATAAAATGCACTTATTAGCTAATAAACCAAAATTTATTCTTTAAAAAAAATTAAGCTGTGTGGAATCTGGACAAGATTATGTTTCGCCCAGAAAAACAGGTGTTATTGTAAATGGTTTTGATGAACAAAAGTATGACCACTTTAGAGAAAAAATTATGATGGAATTTTTACTAACTTTATGAGAACTTCCAGGTCTTGTTTAATTTATATGCATGTGGATATATTTGTATCTTCAAAACCATGAAGCTCTATTCATGTTTTTTAATGCATATTATCTTGTAAGCTGCTATGCAAGTTCTATGAAAAGCCCTACTTACATAAAGAATTACACATTTTTTAAGCTTTCAGGGAAGACCTGTAGACTTAAGCACTTTCTCTGCTACTTTATATCTTATCTTGGACACTTAAACTGAATTATGTTCTTATTATTTTCACTGGTTATAAGCTATTGATTGTACATAATATTTAAACTATCCAAATATCCATCATACATTTCCGTGTTGATACCATCCACTATTAATATCATAAATATGAATGAAATGGTTGGTAGGAAGCCAAAGTTTCTCTATTTTCAATACATAATGAAGAAATAAAATGCAAGATCTCTTTGGTCTCAAAGCATATCGCTTTGGTCAAATTTGAGTATCTCTGAAAAAAAAATCTGAATATGTAAGGAAAAGAGACTTATTTATGTTTGGGTTCTGCTTAAACTTTAAGTTAAATTTGACTGTAGTCATCACTTTTTATTTATCTCTACCAGATACACAATGTGCCAGGTCGTATTCTGCCTTGAGTTTGAAAATCTCTTTCAGTTAAATTTGAATTTTTATGTAGCTTTTCTCCCTTCCTCGAGATGAGAGCAGAGGAATCTGCCATTTTCTATATACTTTGTATGTCCCTATTTTAATTGCTTGGTAAACTAGAATTATTTTGACTTTCTACATATTACCTTTGAAACAGTCCTAGTCTTCCTTCTCCCTCCTTTTTTTTAAGACTTACCTTTAACTTGTGAAAGTATGTTGGGTATACAGATACTCAATAAATGTGTAACTTCTAAAATAATTATGCCAGATACTAGGATTATGCATTTCTGAGCAACATAACTATATCTGTAGTGTAATGATATTAAGTAAAATTTATTTTACATTGGTATTAGGCTACTTTTTAGTGACTGATTTAAAACTTTTCTGTAAAAAAAATCTGGCAGATCAGCAAAATAAGTTCATCCTATGAAAAAACAGAATTTCAAATTAAAATATGTTACAGTAAATAGGCACATAGAGCCCATCTGTTTTTCTAGTCTTGTAGACAGTTATTGTTAAAATACCAACTAGAAAAATGGTTGTCCTGGATTAACTCACAAAAATATTTTAGCAGGACTTCGTTTGAGGATTGATACACTTAAGCTTAATCTCTTGCCACCTCATTCTTCCTTCTCACTTCAGATGACTTGGACCAAAGCATATTTTAGTTTTTAAAAGTGGATCTACATGATGCAATATCTAAATAGGCCATTAGACCAAATGATTGCTTGATCTACAATAAACATTTGATTATATTCAACAAAAATCTACTATATTAACTATCATCCTTGAATTGCTCCAGAATAGATGGGTTGAAACTGAAAAGTGACAGAATGATCTGTCATTATATTGTGAGAACCCTGGTAGGTCTCTAACTTCTGAGTTCTCTAACTTACTTGGTATTTGCAGTAATCTTGCCTCCATGTTCCAAAGCAATAGGACTCTGAGGGATAGTTCTTTGGGGACCTGGGGAAATTGGAAACTGCAAGGCTAATTAATGATATATTAATTCATGTATTCTTTCATCTAATCATCATTTATTAATGTACAGACTCTAAAAGGTTCAGAAGAAATTTCCTGCCCTCAAGTAGCACACAGTCCATTATTTACCACACCATGTCATCCATCTGTTTACCTACTGGTGGTTAAGTAATTAACCACTTCATATTTTTACCAAAGTACATCTGCAGTTCTGTTCATCGGACAAACTGGAAAATATTTAAAAGGATGCTCATTCTTTGGCCCATGCTAACATGAAAGAACTGCAACTGTTTGAGTAGGTTGGTCTTTCATCATACATACTTATTCTAGTGCAGAATTAGACCTTTCTTTCGGGAGTAGAACAGTGTAGCATGTCCATAGCAAGATAAATCATAACAGCAATGACAAAAAAAGCTCTGTTGCTCAAAGTGGATCAATGGGAAATATTTTTAAAGAAATACCTCTCAACTATAATCAGCAAAGCTAAATGTGTGTTTCATCTACCCCCTATTTTTAAGTTGTGTTGACTCAATCACTTCCATACTGACACCCTTTAAACATCTCATTTGTTGAAAGTCCATACAGTGGTAGACGGAGTATTTATCCATGTTGAAAGCTCAAAATTGTATTTTAAACTCAGCAAAATTCCACCTATTCTAGAACACTCTGGCATTCAAACTTAGTACATAGAGCACTTAAACTCAGAGGGTATGACTGAGTTTTTCCACAGTTTTCAGTGTAACTACCTTTATGTCCAGTTTGCCTTCCATTATTCACGAGGGTAAACTTTTTAGGCAACTTCGTGCACTATGCCTCAGAAGTCCTCTAACGACATATGGGTGGAATAACATATGGAACATAGTCTCTGGGCTCCTTCATTTTCCAGTGTCCTGGAATTTGGCACACCAATAAGGTCATACCTTCAGTGTCTCACTCAGTCTTTACTGTAAACCTACCCTTTGACAATCAGGTGCTAATGGTTATATATTGTTGGAATCAGCACATAAGTATTGTCTAGTGTCTGTTCTAGATTGGAAAAAGTGCTTTCCTTCTATCTCAGTCCTGTTGAAGTGAATGTCAGTTATGTTTTCTCATACTTTGTGAGTAAATAGAATTGGGAGAGAGGAAATGATTTAAAGTAAGTTTGGGGTTTGGCACAGTCATCAACATTAGTGATCTCCTTTAAACCTTACAGCAAGTGTGCCCTTACAACAACCAGTTTCTGACTTGCTTACTCCAGTATGTTTACAATGTATGTTGGAATGGTCAGCATTCTTAGCACCCAAAGAATCTGTTTCCCTTTTGGTACCATACCCAAGGTCTTTTAGAAGATGTGGCAAACCACTACCTGGGAAGGCTTATTTTTTGGCTAATCTGTACTAACCCTTATGATAGCCACTTACATGTGTTCTTTCCCAAGCAGATTTAAGTTTTTGTTAAGTATTAAGACTTAGAAAGCTAATAATACTTTTACAATGCATTAAAAGTTTGTGAGATTCTGCTTTTCTTTTTAAAATCTTTTATTTAAATAAGACTTCAAGTATTAATTTAAATTTTAAGTCTCAAATCTGGCATCACCAGACTACCAAATCAAAACCAATGGCATAACAGGGCAGTATTTGTGTTCTTAATATAAAGGCTTTATGTGTACTTTAAATATGCATAGACAACACTTCCCCTTGAGTTGCATGTCAACATATAACATTGTACATTACAATGAAAATTTGTAACTTGAGGGTATTACATATATATATATATGAATACATATATACCTTTGTAACCTTTATACTATAAATTAAAAAATGGCTTTTAGACTTGTATTTTTTCTGGTTTTTTAATGTTAAAATAGTTTCAAGCTTATGGGAAAATGTGAAGAACAGTGCAAAGACGTACATCCCCTTCACCCAAACTTCCTGATTGCTAACATTTTATTCCATTGTCTGCTTTTGTTTTTCTAACATGGCCTGCTCTGTTACCTTCAATTCTCTGGTGTGTACATGCTAAACACAAGGACCCTCCTGCACTGTCCCCATACAGCCTTCCCAGTCAGGAGACAACATTGGTACCTGGCAATCGCCCAGTCCACAGACCCTATTTAAGTGGTGCCTGTCATCGCAGTGTGTCTCCTTGTCTTTCTGGCACAGGATCCTATGCAGAGTTCTGTTTGCTTTTCATGTCTTGTCAGTCTGGGTTAACTCCTCAACCTCACCTTAATTCTCATATCCCTCCTCTTGGATCTGTTCCATGTTACCTCATGACCAGGTCAGGCCATGCACTCCTGGCAGAAATGCGCAGACAGAAGTGATGCCTTCTTAGAGCTCATTCTCAGAAGACAGCTGCCGACCATCCCACCACCAGCAGCTTTGACTTTAATCACCTTATCAAGTTAGTGTCTATACCCTGTTCCCCTTTGCATTTCATTGGCATTTTCGGTAGGAGATGTTCTGTTATTTTGTCAGTATTCTCAGTGTTCCTCAAGCCAGCCCTAACATCCATAGATAACTCCTGCCTGTGTTATCTTACCACTATGGATGATTGCCAAATTGTGATTATTATCACTTCTTTTGCCTTTATTTGTTGGCTTTCTATCATAGGTAAGAACTTCTCTCTTATGGGTTGATTAACTGATATTAAAGACTCATGGATTCTAATTTCTGAAATGAGTTTTAATCCATGCTTACTTATTTTGATGCTAAAACTATCCAGAATCTGGCCTGTAGGAGTCTTCTCAAGCTAGTTACTTTGTCCTTCACTGTGTCCTCATCATTCTTCAGACACTGAATTCTAGCATAACAAAGGCTCCTTTTGTATTTCCTACTCTGGTCCTGCAATTAGCCATTTCTACAAAAGGTTTTTTTAGTGTAGGGTGATAGTCAGAGCCCAAGATCTGGATGTTTGATTTGCTCATTGCTTGGGACTAGGAAAATGTGTGTCGGTGTGTACATACATATATAAATACCGATTTCTACCCTGTATATGTAAAAACCATGAGATACATTGATACTTCTAATGTGAGGATTCTAAATTTCCTGTTTGTAAATTCCAGCTCAGACAGCAATCTGAGATCCATTACTCTCAATACATTTGAATCTGCTCATTTATTCAATGTAACTAACATAATATCCCACTATTCAGCCCACTGCCCCCCTCCTCATCCTTGGACATCCCTTCCATCTCACCTCTGGTAGGGGTAGGAGGTGGAGGGGGGTACAAGGAGCTGAGAAAAGAAGAGAAGATGCAAACAGAAGCCTCAAGTGTGTCTTTTGCCCTCAAATTTTCCTCTAAGGAAAGACTTGTAAATGAATGGATCACCAGCCATTGGTGCTATTTTTAAAAGATTGAGAGCAAGTGCACTCTAAAAAAACACATGTTCTATCAATAGTTCCACTATAGACCTTCTGTGTGATGGAGAGCTTAATCACTGGACCAATTTGAGCTTGATCACTCTGAGTCACACAGAGGAGGGGAAAGGAGGATGGCTTCTCAAGAATCTTGAAGCATCAGGACTCTGGTTTTTGGTTGTTGAGTCCAATCTAGGCAAGTACTATATGAGAAAGAACAAAGAGAATTGTGCTTTTGAACATCAGGGATTTTCTGCCTAAAGTGTGGGAGCCGAGAACTTGATTTCTGCTGTAGTGAGGTGAGAATATGAAGTTGTTGATCTGCTGCAGAATCATTAAGACCCAGATGCCTGCCCAGTCCCCTTTCCCTTCTCACTTGTCCCCTCACCCCCAGCTATGGCAACAGCACTACCCAACGAAGCACTCTTTCCCCCTAATCCCCAAGCCTCCACTTAAAATGGGAGCCTTTCCCCACCCCCTGCCTTGGGCATGCTGCCCATTAGGAGCTCACATAGCATATGGGCCTTCATACATGCGTATTGCTTCCTGATTCATCTTTCTCCTCATATTTCAGGATCTCTGGAGATGTCTTGATCTTTATTATTTTTTTTTGTAAGATGTATTTTTTTTTATTTATGCATCCCAGAACTGGGGTGTAGGTTAGAGGCACAGGGGGTGAGAGGATTCACCAGAGACAGAATGGGGAGCAGAACAGGTTGTAATTTACTGAAGTTCACTGTTGAGGGGATTGGTAGCCCAGATAGGAGAGGTTGGCTGTGCCAGATGTGGGTTAGCCTCCTGGCCCAGGAATGGAACCCAGGCCTGGTGATGGCGCTGAGACTTAACCCCTAGACTACCAGGGAGACTGTACATTGATCTTTATTCTACCATGACCTCCACTACCACCAGGCACTATGAGCCTGGCACATACTGCATACTTCTTAAATGTTGTTAAATGAATGTAAACCAGTCTGCATGCTGAAGTATCACCTGGGTAAAGGCCCCAAATTTGGAGGTTGAAGAAAACCATTTTCCTAAAGAAAAAAATAGCAAGGCTAATATCTAAAAATTAAACTGACTTTAGACAGTCTACAGCATCGTAATAACCAGAGACTCAGCCCCCAGTGTGTTCATATTAGCTATCTCACTCATTCCCCACCCCACCCCCATCCCCACCAAAGCCAGGTAAGGTAGATACTAGTTATTACTGTATCCTATTAAACATTCCCAGATTAAAATCTGGGAAGTCAGGTTTACTGTGCTAGTAAAACTATTCTATAAACTCTGTTTCGGCCCTCCTTGGTGGCTCAACGGGCTAAAGCACAGCACTACGACCTCTCAGCAACCTCAGCAACCTCTCAGCAGCCACTGCAGCAGGAGTTCGTTCCCAGACCAGGGAGCTGACCCACAAGGCGCAGCAGACCTCTCCAGTGTCGCCCGCGGCTTCCCTCAGCAGTGTATTCAGTAGATAAGACTGTTCTGATCTCCACTCTGTCTCGGATGAATCCTCTCACCTCCCCTTGCCCCCATACCTCTGGCCTGTACCCCAGTTCTGTAAGCATAAATAAGTTAATCTTTAAAAAAGAAAAAAATAAACACTTTGTTTTTCCAAGCGAGGTCCTGGACTAGCGGAAATCGCCTAATCTTCTTGGCACCCACGACCCTCCCCGCACCCTCGACTCCCGGCGGGCCGGCCGGCCCCACCCCTGCACACTCCCGGGCCTGCCCGCTTCCCACCCGGTCCCCGCCTCCTGCAGTGACGGCCGTGGCCGCCTGGGGGCAGCCGCGCGGCTCGAGCCCGACCGCTCTGGCCTGCGCTCCTCGCTCGCCTTGGACTCGGCTCGGGTTGCGAGCGGCCGCTCTGCCCGCCCAGAGCGCCGACCCGCCGCTCCCCGCGCCGGACCCAGCACCTCGGCTCCCGGGGGCTGGAGCGAGGCCGCAAGCAGCGCCGCGGGGTGTGGGGCGGACCCAGGAGATGAAATGACAACGTCAACCCTCCAGGTACCCCGGCGCGGCCCGGCCTTGACTTGCGGCGGCCGAAGGAAGGGCGGCGGGGCCTGCGGGCCGGCACCGGGGCGGACGGGCTGCCGGGCGGCCTCCTGGGAGCCCCGGCCTCGCGGTCCCCCGCCCCGCCGCCGCTGTCGCCGTCTCCGCGCGTTTTGTTTTTATACCCTCGGAGCGGAGGGCCGCCTCGCCTCCCTGGACGCCGAGCCCCGAGACCGATAGGTGCAGCGGGTGTGCCGTGGGGATCCACCTCTGCCCGGCCGCACCGGCGCCGCCCGGGGGAGCTCCTGCTCGCGGTCGGGCCGCTCACTCCCCTTCCGCCTGCCTCCCTTCTAACACGCCCCGGGTCCTTCCTCCGGTGCCTATTGCTTCTCTGCCAACTACCCTTCATTCATTCCCTCGATCGCGCAGGGTGGTGCTGGGGTGGCGCCACCTGGTTGCGCGACAGCCCCGTCCTCCAGGTACTGCCAGAGCTGCGGGTCCGGAAAACAAACATGCCCAGGCCTCAGACCTGGGTTGGAATCTGGGCTCTGGCATCACTAACATGTGACCTTGGGCAAGTTACTTGATCTTGGAATCTCGGGTTCCTGTCAGTAAAATGGGGTATAACACTCAGAAGCATTTTTGTGACAGTGGCTCCAGGCCAAGCGGTCCAGGTAAAGCGTCCTTCACACAGTGTCTTTGCACAGAGTGCTCAGTAAGTGATGTAGGGTGACAGGAGACTTCAGGGAAGAAGGGGCATAGGGCTGGATCCTCAAAGGTCTGGTTGCTTTCAGATGCCTGAAGGGGGATGGTTATGCCAGGTAGAGGGAAACAAGAGAACAGAGGCAGGGAGTATGTTGGGGTACTTGGCTGGGAATTAAGAGTGCAAAGCCAAACCCCACCACCCACTAGCAGAAGCTCTGTTCTGTTATCACAAGGGTGCAAACATGACTGCAGATCCACCTGCCCTGACAGTTTTGGTAAAACCTGTGAGCTAAGAACGGTTCTTATATTAAAAACAAAACAAAAATACAACATAGGTTTACTAAGCAGTATTTCACATAGCTTATAGTTTACCCATTTAAAGGGTGTAATTCGTTGCTTTTAGTCTATTCACAAAGTTATGTGACCATCACCACAGTCAGTTTTCGAACATTTTCATCACCCCAACGAAACCCTCTACTATTTGTCTTCGCAATCTCTTCTCGCCATCCCCTACCCATCCATGCCTAACCCTCTGTCCCTCCCCTCTTCAACAACCACTAATCTACTTTCTGAGGTATGGATTTGCCTATTGTGCACATTTTATATAAGTGGAATCCTACAGTATGTGATCCCCTGTGACTACTGCTTTCACTTAACATAATACCTAAGTTTTTACATGGCTGGAGGAGGTGATATTTTATAACATGTCAAAATCACAAATTTCACATTTCATTTCTATAAAGATTTATTGGAACACATCCCTGCTCATTCATTTATGTTCATATTCTCTGTGTCTGCTTTGGGGTTACCACAGGCGGAACTGAATAGCTGCTACGGCCATTGTACAGATTGTGCAGCTGGCAAAGTCTAAAATATTTACTGTCCTTTACAAAGAGTTTGCCACTCACTCTCTTCACTCACCCTCATCCTTTGCCATTTGTGTTACTACAGATGCGGCGGGTCTGGCAGTTTTATTTATCACCTTAATTCCTGTTAAGCAAAACTGTTCTCTTCACATTGAAACTAAGACCTCTTACGTGTGAAAAACTATGTGTGGTTGCTGGAAATATTGAATGTGCTTTTACATGCATTAGTTAATAGAGTGTTGGGAAGAGATAGGCATGCTCTGCCACATGGGGGCCAAGCACTGCAGATTTGCTGTTCTGAACCCCACCTTTCAAGAGGCTGGACCCAAGCAAGAAAGCAAATAAGCAAAATAGTCCAAGGATTTGTTCTAGAGGAAAGAAGTCATGAGGGACAGGAGCACCCTTTCATGTCTTATCTGAAGGGCTGTTTTGGGGGACAGAGTGGAAAACAGAAGCTCATGTTGAAACTAATCCAGAAGATTCAGGGCTCTAGTCATTCTTTATTTGTAGGTAGTGGAGGGTGCTAAAGCTTGCACATAGTAGCCAGCACTCATACCTTCCTGATGCCTTTAACTTGGTGAGTTTAGTAACACCAACCTGGCCTAGCCTACCTCACTTTTTTAGGCTTGTAAAGCTAGCTGTGCCTGTTTTTCTATGTCTTCTTGCTTTCAGAAGAGGAGGGCGGACAAATGCCAGGGCCCTGCCAAGAACTGGTCAGGAGGCTTATTGTTTGCTGTGGACGGAACTATGTGTATACAGTGGGCTCTGCCTGCCTGTGTCTAGTGCAAGGTCAGATTGAGGAGGATCATTTTGGTAATGCTTCCCGGGTTGGTGAAGCTGTGGTTTTTAAAGCTGCTCATGTAGGTGTGGGCCATCTGCCTGAAAGCTCCAGCACACTCTGAGTTTAGTCTATAAAGCACAGACCCACGGGCTTTGAAAGATTCAGAGAGATACTCTCATGGAGTTCTTAGAAGGTTAAACAGTTAGGACGAATCCTGACAGTTGGCAGCACTTGTGTGCCTCGGGAGTAAGCAGGCACTTTTCTTACTGGAGCTTCTGGCTTATTGAACCATGTGTTCAAGGGTGTGTTACGTACGTAGTTAGAACTTGAGGAAAACCAAGAGGCTGGCGGTGTGGCTTCCGGTCTTCAGGCTACGCTCCAGCAAGCCGCTGGTTTTGGTGTTTGCCCCGTGCCAGCTTCTCACTTCAACTCCCCTTCACCGTGAACTCTCCCTTTGAGCCCTAACCTGAGATATTTTGTGAGGTTTCCATTTGCTGAAATCTGTCCAGACCAAGGACTGAGAAGGAGCTTACTTTCAACTATCAGAGTACACTGTGAGAGGGATGCTGGCGTTTAAGCCAGGCTACTTGAGGTTGGATAAGTAGCCAACTGACTGATCTGCAACCAACTGATCCACGGGCCTGCAATCCCTATCATCCTGTATTCCTGCTGCCTCTGGCCCAAAGGCTTGTAGATCTCTTCGAAGCACTGAGTTATTTGCTTTCACTTTCCAGAAAGCCATTGATCTGGTGACGAAAGCCACAGAAGAGGATAAAGCCAAGAACTACGAGGAGGCGCTCCGACTCTACCAGCATGCTGTGGAGTATTTCCTGCACGCCATCAAATGTGAGTCACAGGCTGGGTCCCCCCTTGTCTCAGAGTCCCTGGGATGAGAAGAAGGACACATGGGGACTCATGGGCTCCTCTGGTTCCCCTTGCACAGATGAGGCACACAGCGACAAGGCCAAGGAGAGCATTCGAGCCAAGTGCATGCAGTACCTAGATCGGGCAGAGAAGCTGAAGGATTATTTACGAAACAAAGAGAAGCATGGCAAGAAGCCAGTCAAAGAAAATCAGAGTGAGAGCAAGGGGTGAGTATGAAGAAGAGGGCCACCAGGACCAGGGCCCCCCCGTGGTCCTACCCTTGTCTGTGATGCTGTCATTCCTGGTACTAATGCTGCTTTGGACTTCCAGCACCTTCCTTTGGGGGATTCTGCAGCTACTTTCATTGAGCACTTTATTGAAATCCCCCGTGTACACCATCATTGGAACTATGCAGAAGAGCTGTGGGCAAAGTGGGCAGCCGGCATAGTGGTTACCAGCTTTGGGCTCTAAATCAACCTCTTGGTATTGCAGCCAGGCTCCGCCCTTCCTGGCCATATGATCTTGGACAAGTACCAGGAATACCTGTGCCTCCAGAATTCTCATCTGTAGAAGAGGGGCTTTCATGGGACTTTCCTCCTGGGGGTACTCTAAGGAGCACGTGAGGCGATGCGTGTAGAGCCCTTGGGCAGAACTGAGCACACAGTAGGCAATAAGCAGTTTCATAACCCCATTTTCATCCAGCTAGATGAGGAGACAGACTCCGAGCTTGGCCCTTGATGGAGGTCAGCACCCACACTTGGGGCCTGTGCTCCTGACTCCAAAGCCATTGTTCCCTCTGGTGCCTCTCAATTCATATCTATGGTTTACCCACCATGAAGATGCCAGTCGATGACAAAGGCTACTGGTGTCCTGGAAGCAAGAGGGCGGTGCTAGGCAAGAGTGAGGGAATGGGAGAGAGGTGGTGTCGGCTTCCTCACTAGAGGACAGAGGCTCTGCTCCTGAATAGAGAGGATACTCTCTCATGAAGGGAGAAGAGGCCCTGAAGAATTGAGAATGGCAGGTGTCCGGAAAGAGATGGTCTGGGGAGCAGGGGCCTGCTCCTTTGCTGGGTACTCTCCTGCAGCATCACTTCATCTCTTCTGAGTCACAGCCACTACTCCCGGTCTCAGTCCATATGAATGACCAGTGACAGCTCCTTTTGCTTGCCCAGTTGCTCTTGAATTTCAGTCACCTCCCAGGTCCCTCACTAACCTTCTAGAGTGGCACACATCTCTGTTCCTGTTCCCTAAATGAAGAAATGAGGATGGTTGTGAGCATGTTTCATAGAGCACACCGTGGGGAAATGAGGAAATTGTGTGGCCTGGAAGGCCTGGAGGTACCTGCTGGTGCTCTTTCATCATCACTGAGGAGGGCAAACAGTGGCCATCAGAGCCTGTCCTTGCACCCAGAGCCTCCTTGCCTACTACCTGTTGCTCCAACTTGTCCTCTTTTGTCTCATTTCCTAGCAGCGATAGTGATAGTGAAGGGGATAATCCAGAGAAAAAGAAATTGCAAGAACAACTGATGGGTAAGAGACTCACACTGTGGCAGTGGGAGGGGCACATGGCCTGGTGGGTGGGCTCAGACTCTGCCCTCCTCTCACAGGGGCCGTGGTGATGGAGAAGCCCAACATTCGATGGAATGATGTGGCCGGGCTGGAGGGCGCCAAGGAGGCTCTCAAAGAAGCTGTTATTTTGCCAATTAAATTCCCACACCTGTTCACAGGTAAGCCACTTTTGGCCCAAATGTAAAGAATATCAGGCTTCTGAGTGAGCCAGCTCAACTCTGAAGTTGTCTGGGAGCAGTGGTGACTCAATTTCTTTGTCCTTAAAGGGTGAGGGCTCAGCTTCTCTCTATTAAATTTCTCTATGATGAGATCTTTGACTTGTCTGTCCCAGTAGGTGGGCAGGGAGAGGAACTTGTGCCAGCTAGTGTCATTTTATTTTATTTTTTTAAAGATTTATTTACGTATGCATTCAAGAACTGGGATACAAGCCAGAGATGTAAGGGTAAGCGGATTCACCAGAGACAAGGTGGGGAACGTAACAGGCAGACTGGCTGAAATACACTGCTGGGGGGAGTGGCAGGCGAGACAGGAGAGGTCTGCCGCGCCATGTGGGCCAGCTCCCTGGCTGGGATCAAATGCATGCTATGGCAGCTGCAGATAGCGTCATAGTGCTGCACTTTAACCCATTGCACCACCAGGGATGGTCCAGCCAGTGTCATTTTGCAAGGTCTCAGGGGCCATGAGCAAGGGCTAGAACTAAGCTGTTGCACATAGTTCAGTAAGTTCCGTCTGCAACTACAATTTGTTTTATAAAGCTCTACTTCTAGCGGCAAAGGCCCCTCTGCTTTTTTTCTGTTCCCTTTCCCTAGTCAGGAAGAAACTGAGTTTGATTTATTTTTTTTCTTGCAGGCAAGCGTACCCCTTGGCGAGGAATACTGCTTTTTGGACCCCCTGGCACAGGGAAGTCCTACCTGGCCAAAGCAGTGGCCACGGAGGCCAACAACTCTACCTTCTTCTCTGTGTCCTCCTCAGACTTGATGTCTAAGTGGCTGGGGGAGAGTGAGAAGTAAGTTAGCCACTAGGCCCTGCCTATGCACGGCTCTAGGCCCAGCTGCCCCATCCAGGAGTCTCTTCCGGAAGCTGCGGGAGGCAGGGATCAGTATCCAGGGGAGAAATATCTCACTAACTTAATGGGTAGACATGTTCCTCTGAACAGCTGGAAATCGGGAGAGGAGTCCTCCAGACTGGAAGGGCAAGTCACTTGCAGTGTGGCTATGAGACTCCCCTCTGGGACTTTATGTAGTAACTTCCTTCAAAGTCTCCCACTCCACAGGTGGTGAAACTAAGGCTGAGAGGAAGGGAAGGGACCTGTCCTTAGCACAGCACTCATGCAGGCAGGCAGCTGCTGGCGTGGAAGCTGATGTCAACGCTGTGCATCCTCTTGGTGCAATACTGCCAAGGGACCAGTTACTGTCCTTTTTTTCTCTGAAACCCAAGCTTAACTGTGGTCTTGTCCTCATGGGAAGGGACTGAGTCCCTGGCCAGGCCTTTGTGTGAGTGTCCAGCTCCCAGCCCCACTTGTCCCCTTCACAGGCTTGTCAAGAACCTCTTCGAGCTGGCCAGGCAGCACAAGCCCTCCATCATCTTCATTGACGAGGTGGACTCCCTCTGTGGGTCCCGCAACGAAAATGAGAGTGAAGCAGCCCGAAGGATCAAAACAGAGTTCTTAGTCCAGATGCAAGGTGTGTATTGGTCCCAGGCTCCCTCCTCTCTCCCTACTCCACCTAAAGCCAGCCTGGGGCTGCGTTATTTAGAGGTAGCTGGAAGTCCTCTCTTCAGGCCCTCATTGCAGAGAGGTTCCTGAGGCATTTTCCTGCCTCTGCTGTTCTGCAGCTCTTCACCCCTGCAGACGCCTTTCCCCTCAGGCTCTGCCTGACTCTGTAAGTGGTTCTCAGAGTCAGGCCTGTGCCTTCCTTTCTCCACAGGGGTGGGGAACAACAACGATGGGACTCTGGTTCTTGGTGCCACAAATATCCCATGGGTGTTGGATTCAGCCATTAGAAGGAGGTGAGTCTTTCCCACAGGAATGGGGGCTGGGGTCTCTCTCCAGCCATGATCAGCCTGCTGCCGGCAGCCAGGAGTATAGCCTGACCCCCTTTCTCTGAAGGCTTCTCTGTGTCTGCATGTTGAGCAGAACCTTAGTGAGCCAATTTCTGGGGGTCCCTGCTTTCCCTCTGCATTAAGACCATTTTGTCATCTGCTCTCAGGTCCTGCCCTGTGCTTGGCTCTCTAGGTTTGAAAAGCGGATTTATATCCCACTGCCTGAGGAAGCTGCCCGTGCCCAGATGTTCCGGTTGCATCTGGGGAGCACGCCCCACAACCTGACAGACGCCAACATCCACGAGCTGGCCCGGAAGACAGAAGGCTACTCAGGTGCAGACATCAGCATCATCGTGCGGGACTCCCTTATGCAGCCCGTCAGAAAAGTGCAGTCAGCAACACACTTCAAAAAGGTGAATGGGCCAGCAGGGAATTGCTTAGAGAGTGTCACAGGACAGAGGTGGCAGCTTTCTTTGTCAGCTTCCTGGCAAAGAGGGAGTCCACTTCATGGATAAAGAGATGGAGGGCTTCTGCTGCCTGGCCAGCTCAAATAGGTTCTTGACGAGCCTGTGGAGGGACCAAGTGGGGCTGGAATCTGGACACCCACCCTAGCAAGTGACACTTGCTAGGTCTCCCAGAAGACCAGGACAAATGCAAAGTGAGCCCCTGGCTTTGGGCACCTGCTCTCCTCTTCCTTCTTGCTTCAGTGTGGCCACATTAGGTGTAAGAGGACAGGACCATGCTGTTCCTCTTGCTGCTTCCGTAGGCGCTGTGCCATCATGCATAACAGACCTTGTGAGGTGCCTGGAAAGTGTTGGGGTAAAACCAGACTGTAAGGAAAACTCTTGTTTATGCAGCAGAGTTTTGTCAGGTATCCGCTGTGGGTCCTACTATGTGCCTGACACTGTTCTCCACGCTGGGGACATGTTTGTGACCATGCACAGAAATTCCTGCCCTCCAGGGGCCTCCTTTTTAGTGAGGGAGATAGATAGCAAACAAAATCAAGATGTAGGGCCTCCTTGGTGGTGCAAGGGGTTAAGTTGCAGCACTGTGAAGCTAGTGGTGGCTTCTGTATCATGAATTCAATCCCCAGCCAGGGAGGTGACCCACATGGCACAGCAGACCTCTCCTCTCACCCGCTGCTCCCCTCAACAGTGTATTCCAGTAGATCTGCCTGTTCTGCCCCTCACTTCTTTCACCTCGCTCACCCCCATACTTCCAGCCTACACTCCAGTTCTTATGTGCATAAATAAAAATAAATCTTAAAAAATAAACAAGATGCATTTCTTAGCGGGTGATAAGGAAAGCTCAAGCAGAGGGTCTAGCACTCTGAAATGACAGATCACATGGGCTGGCATTTGAGTCGAGTTAGAAGTGATAGAAGGCGCCTTTGCTGGGTAAAGGAAGAGTGCTGTCCGTGGAACAGACTAAAGAGGGAAGCAAGTTTAGAAGTCCCTGAATCCTAGGGCTGAAATCTGGTGGAGGTAATAAGCATAGGCATGGGATTCCCATGCCTATATTCCCTTCTCTTCAGGACTCAGGAAGCTGGGGTGTCCCGCCCACCCTACCAAACACCAAACGGCCCACTTTCCAGTCAATTCCTGTTTGGTTTCAGGTCTGTGGCCCTTCCCGCACCAACCCTAGTGTTATGATTGATGACCTCCTGACCCCGTGCTCACCAGGGGACTCAGGGGCCATAGAGATGACTTGGATGGATGTCCCTGGTGACAAACTCTTAGAGCCTGTGGTTTGCATGGTAAGTGGCCTGAACAGGGGACTGAACAGAGCCGAGAAAATGTGGGAGTTGGCAAGAGCACGAATAGGCTCCTGCACATCTCTGTTCTGGGCTGTTGTGGCTGCTGATAAATAGCAGAAAGGGGTCTTTGGGGCTCTGGGTAGCCGGGGCTCCTGTCATTAGGTGCGGTGATGTCCAGGATGGAGGCTGCAACATTCACATTTTATCCTCTTCAGCAAGAGTAAAGACTAGATGCTGTGGCTCCACCATTCCCTGGGGCCGGCTTGTCTACACACAGAAGGAACCACTCACCGTCTGTCAGCATGGTTTGATATGATGACTCAATGCAGTTGCACAGCAGTCTCTCCCCCAGCTCTTCTCGACCGCTCCTTGCGGTCTTGTGGCCGGTGTCTGTCATGCAGGCCATTGTGGTGGGCAGGGTTAGGATGGGCTGCTCAGGGGACTAAGAGTTGGTGGGAGCTAAGTAGGCCTGTCTGGAAAGTGCCTGTCAAGAGCCGTTCAGGCAGACACCAGGCACCTAAGGAGCTGGTGCACACGTGGGGCCGGGGAGCCGCGTGGGGGGCCAGGGAGCCGGGAGGCGAGCGTCCTTCCACCCTAGACCTGGTGGGCCTGGGGCGGGAGGCTGAGGCCTGGAGTCCAGCTCCTCCTCAGCTGCGTGCTCTTGTCTTTGGTCTTTGCAGTCGGACATGCTCCGGTCCTTGGCCACCACCCGGCCCACGGTGAATGCAGATGACCTCCTGAAAGTGAAGAAATTTTCAGAGGACTTTGGGCAGGAGAGTTAAAAGCTCCTTCACTTGGGTGACGGTGAAGGTGGGCTGTCGATGGGGTTAACTCCACAGCACTCCTCACATCGGTGGCCAGACAGGGCTCCAGGATTCGTTCTGGTCACTACGTCCCCGCCGCCTCCGTGTCAGGCCGCCAGCAGGGGAGCAGGACGGAAGGGCCTCCTGGGCCTAGAGACGTGTAAGCACATTTGGCACCTGGTGGAATTCTGGCTCTTCCTCCTTTTCTGGATGGTCACCAACTCCTTGTCCTGCCCCTCCGTGGTATTTTTTTTTAAAGACCTTTTTTTGTTCCCCTAAATTAATGCTGCTTGGATTTTTGTCTTGTTTATAAATAAAGTTAAAATCACCCAGAAGCGTCAAGGATGAGAGCAGCCCACGCAGCGGGGTTGGTGCGCAGACCTTCAGAACGGCCTGCCGGGCCCCAGCACCCATTCCTTCTAGACCCAAGTGTTGCTCCTGGTGGACAGAATGGCTGATGCCCTGGGTCCCCAGCCCAAGCTCTGCCTGCAGAGGCCGAGAGTGAAGCCAAGCCATTCTCACCCTCCTGCGTTGGCTTCCAGGGCCCTGTGTTCTCCTTGCAGGAGAGGCGGGGCCTTGTAAGCACAGAGCAGTGTGGTCAAAATGTGTGAAGGCAGCCAGTGGGCATTACTGCTGCCTTTTCTTCCCTTGGAATGTGAGAACTAAACCCAGCACTGTCCCTGGGTCCCTGCCCTGGAAACGGGCTAATAAATCCTTTCCTTTCTTGAGCCATCTGAGTGATCGCGTCTTTGACTGCTGTATGTGGCTCTTTGAAAGCCACTCTGGCTTCTGATAGAGACCCCTTGGTTTTCTCTCATCTCTTCAGTGTAAGAAGCAAGTAGTAGTGTCACTAGCTGCCTGTTGCCCAATCAGGGTCGTGAGACCTTTCTTCCCTAAGAAGAAAATTGTGGCTGAGGGTGTCTAAAAGGCCCTGCGCATTTCCTCCTGTTCTCCAGCCTCAGATAAGAGACTGCCACCCAGGAGGCCTCCATGCCTGACACGGCCTGCGGCTGTTTCATTGGGTATGCTGCCAACACTTAAAATTCAAGCGTTGATGTAAACATTCAGACCTGGCTCCTGGGAAGATTAGGTAACACTGGGTCTGCTCCCCATGAAGCAGCCTGCCAGCTATAGCTGAGCTTGGGTGCCCTGTTCAGAGGGTAGCACGCTGTCCAGCTCCAGTGCTCACAGGGACTGCTCCACTGTCCAGCCCCAGTGGCCATTTGAATTTGTGATTCCTGACAGCCACATCTCCAGAGCTGGCTGCCTTGAGACACTAGGAAGAAGCCTGACATAGAGTTACTAAGTTTGCCCTTCCCCTCCAAAAACCTTGCACTGGCTTTTGATCCAGTTAGGGTAGCTGCTGAATTTGGCTCCTTGAAGGCTTGGACCCTGCACTGCCCTCCATTGCTGGGGGCTTAGCCCCCCACTCCTTACCTGGAACATCATTGGCACTTAGCTCTGGAGCTCCCCTGTAGTTCTAGCCCTGCTGATACTGCTTCATTCCAACTTTTTTTTTTTTTCTCAATTGTTAACTTTACTTGAATCAAAGGTCTTTTATTTAACCTCACTTCTACCATTTAAACACCTTGGTTAAGAGGAACTTGAGTGCTACTAGGGTTTAATCTCAGCTCACTGAAGTTTGCGGATACCCGCTTTTCCTCCATCTCACTTCCCCACCAGTAATGTGCTGTTCAGATGGAGTCTGAACCAACCTCAGAGTGCAGCTGTGGCCTTATCACCTAAAGCATAATGTCCTTTGTGCAGACAGTTAAATTTATCTCTTCCCCACCAGGAATTTTGTTCTAACACTTCTGCCCACATTGGCTTTCACTGGAAATTGGTTTCTTTCACTCGTGAAGATACTATGTGTGTGTGTAATTTTCTTAGCTGGTAACTGCCTGAGATGAAAGGTTTTCTGTATTGGAAATGCAAGAATTTGTGGCCTGTCCTGCTGATATGGATTTGCTTACAACCTCGTATCTTGTCAGCAATATAGTCTTCAAGCTTTTCTGAGGCCCACTCTGAGCAGTCATTTATTTTTGGGCCAAGGACCCTGGAATTTCCGACAGGCTGCTGACCTGCATGACAGAAGTGTTACTAAGGACAACTTGCGCACTGTCGAATCAAGGTGTTCTGATGCCACCCTGCAGGAACATATGCTCATCATCCCTGGGGAAGGAGGCACATCGAACTCTAACTTCCACAAGATCCATGTTTTCAGGGTAAAAGTTTCTACAGACTTCCCCAAGTCTAAGCTCATATCTGGGAGAAGCCGAGTCTTGCCCATCCCCAGTTTAATGCATAGGGAGCCAGCTCTCTTCTGCTTGGCCTTCCAGATCCCTGGACTTGACCCAGCTAGAGAAAGCCATACGAGATAATGGCTTTCCTCAGTGTCTGTTTAATTGCTGTTTAAAGCACTTTTGATGGGTTTCTTATTTCATGGAAATGAGTTTTAAAATTGGGGGAATGAGGTGAATTTTGAGGGCTATGGTAAGAGCACATGTGTTGAAAAACTTAAGAACAAGCTGAAGCGGGGCCTTCCCTGGTGGCCCAGTGGTTAAAGGGCAGCACTATGAAGCTATCCACAGCCACTGTAGCACAAGTTCAATCCCTAGCCAGGGAGGTGACTCATATGGTGCAGCAGACCTCTTGTCCCATCACTACTCCCCTCAGCAGTGTATTTCAGTTAGTCTGCCTGTTCTGCTCCCCACTCTGTCTCTGGTGAATCCTCTCACCCCCCCACACCTCTGGCCTGTACCCCAGTTCTTACATGAATAAATAAATAAATCTTAAAAACAAAACAAAAAAACTGAGGACAAATATCTAAAACCATTTCTTTCACTTCCTTTATAAAGCTCTGACGTATCTTGAGGCTACACATTGGTCAGCATAATGCTAATTAATTTTCCAAAAATTTGTATGATGACCAGGAAGCACATGTAGGACTGCTTTCTATCCTAATTGTGACAGACAGAGGCTCACTGCTCCTCAACTATCACCCTCCTACTCCATGGCTTTATCCAAAGGAGTTCAGTACCACTTGTCCAAAAGATCTCAGCAGGAAAATCTCCATGTCTCTTCAAGGTGGATGACAAATGTTAAAGGTGTGGATATTCATTTACATTCATGTCATTAACCACTGCCATGAACTGGGACAATTCTGTCCTGTGTTATTTCCACAAAGAAATTGGTATCCCAGGCAAAAAAGGACTTCACAGGTAAGACACAAGACCATTATAAAAATAAGAATGCTGGGAAGATGGTCAAATATAACCTGATCTTAACTTTTTTTTTATTTGTTTATGCATACAGAAATGGGGTACAGGCCAGAGGTACAGGGGCAGCGAAAGAATACACCAGAGAAAAGACTGGGGAGCATAACAGGCAGATCGACAAAGTATACCACTAAGGGGAGCAGCGGACGAGACAGGAGAGGGCTCCTGCGCCATGTGGGTCCCCTCCGGGGCAGGGATCAAACTCGTACTGAAGCGGCCATGGCTTGGTGTAGCTTCACAGCGCAGCGCTCCAACCCTGTGCGCCACCAGGAAGGGCCCCCTAATCTTAACTTTTTTTTATATAATATAACAACTTATTTTTTACATCATTTTGTACATTTTTTTTTATCTCAATTATAATACCTGTGTGTTTCCCACCACCAAGTCACCCATGTGCCATCACCATAGTCCAGTGCACTTCCCTCCCTAATCTCAACATTTTTAAACACAGCTTTGGTGTGATATTTGGTGACATTATCTGAAATTTGATACATTATCATCAAATCTTGGCTTCAGGAACAGATGACACGTCTTCTGAGCATGGCTATCATCAGAAAGTATCCACTCCTTCAACAAAGTAAGTATTTTCTTCTCAAGTTGATAGCAGTTAAACATTTCAGGTTAAACATTTCAAACACCTTCCAACCTGACTTGGCTTGCTTTGGCAGTGCACAGATTTCTGTCAGCTGAGCCAATACTAAGCTGATGCCAAGTAAGGCTCATTCAGATCAAAGTCAAAACAACTTTTTTTCCAGAATCCTCAGATGCAGTAAGAAAATTTTAGTCATTCACCTCCATCCAGTGGATGTTTGTAAATGTCTTGCTGTCCATTTTGTCAATGAATAGGCAGCCTTGCAAGTGGTCCATCTCATGCTGGATGATGCGGGCTGCCCACCCGCTGGCTTGCCACACCACCTGCTCTCCTCTAGGGTCTAGCCCTGCAAAGAAAATTACCAGTGGGTGAGGTCACGTGAAACCACATCACTCTCTTTAACTCCTTAGCCCTCCCCCACCTCCTACCCTGACTTCCTTATCTGTAAGAAGCAACATCAGGGAAATGTACAACAGGGAGTAGAAAGCAGTCCCAACCTTCCCCAAAAAGCTGCTTCAACTGGGCCCATTGCCAAGTGTTCAGCCTGGTTCCCTACTCTGACAATTAGATTACAGGATCCACTATGGAGCTGAGAGAAGTGATCTTCCTAAGGTGCTTTTTTTAATTTTTTTTAAAGATTTATTTTATCTATGCACACAAGTGCTGAGGTGTAGGGCAGAGGTGTAAGAGGATTCACCAGAGATAGTAGGGAGCAGAACAGGCGGATCTTCTGAAACAATACTGCTGAGGGGAGCAGCGGGCTAGAGAGGAGCGGTCTGCTGCAGAGTGGGTCAGCTCCCTGGTCAGGGATGGAGTTCGTGCTGCAGTGGCTGCAAATAGCTTCATAGTGCTGTGTTTTATAATAGTGCTGTGCGTTACCCCCTTGGGCCACTGGGGAGGCCCTGTCTTCCAATTCTTAAAAGAAGTATGTAAGAGGCCCTCCCTGGTGGCTCAGCGGGTTAAAAAAAGTATGTAAGCATGACACGGTATAAAATAAAGGGCTCCCGTGGACTTCTGACTCTGCCCTGCCTACCTCTCCGGGTTGAGCCTGGTCTGCTCTCACAGAAGCCGCCTTCCCTACAGAATCCCGCCCATCCCCAGATCCCGCTCTTTGTTCATGCCAGAGGCTCCGTCGAGAAACCGTCCACCTTAAAGCCAGCTTTGCGGAAACTAGTGGGATCCGAAGTCGCTGCCGCTACTGGTGGGGAGAGAAGGACGCGTTTAACAGCTGCCCCAGCGTCCCTGCCGCCTCCCACCTGTGATCTGCACGGCCTGGTAGCGGGGCACGTAGGCCAGGAAGCCCGCGACGCTCTCGCAGCCCTCGGGGAAGGTGACCAGGCGGCTGTCCAGCACCTGCAGACTCGGGTTCACGAACACGCGCAGGGGGAAGGGCTCCATCTGGCGGACTTCGCGCAGGCGCGGCGCGCAGGCGCGGAAGAGCGTCTCGGGGAACTCGAGGGCCAGCACCTGCAGCGGTACCCCGAGCTGCGGCGCGCTCAGCCCCACACAGCCCCGGCGCCGCATCACCTGCACCAGCCGCTGCACCAGCCGCTGCAGCTCGGGCCCCGCCAGCTGCGCCGGTTCTACGGGGGCCGCCACGACCCGCAGCGCCGGGTCCCCGACCTGGCACACGTGCTGGTACGGCGGCTCCGGCGCTCCCCGCACCAGACGCCGCACGTAGCGCCAGTAGGAGCGCCGGCGCACCGGGCCCTCCAGGCCGCCTTGCGCGGACGTGGAGCTACAGGCCCGGGCGCCGCCGGCCACCGGCCGCCCGCAGCAACGCGCGCGCGCCAGCAGCGACCCCAGCAGCATCCCCGCGCCCAGCCGGGCCATGGCGAGCCAAGCAGACGCGTCCCGCCCCGGCCCCCGTAGCCGAGCGCTCCCGCCCCGGGCACGCCGGGAAGTGTGGTTTCCGGGCGCGCCGGCACCGCCCACAGACTGCGAGGCCGGCCTCTGGACAAGTCGATCAGCTTTATTGAATTGCACTTCTTACTGAATAGTCAACCATTCACGGGCGGACCCGGGCCTCGCCCAGTACTTTGCTCTCGTGCGCGCCCGCGCAGCTACTCCCCTGGCACCGCCCGTGCCTTGCCAGGCCTGCATCACGAGCCTCACCCAGTCTCAGCCGCTGGGCAGACTTGCCGGTCAGGGGAGGCTGTTAGGAGTCTGCACTGGGCTCGGAGGCCTGCGGTGGCTCCGCTGGATCCTCCTGCGCCTGCTCACACTCGGGGAAGGCCGCACCGCGAGAGTCGAGGCTGGGATCCTCATCGGGGAGTTCTGGCGCTGTGAGCTCTGACACCAGCCCCTTTTCATCTAGACAGAAGACCATCTCTCTCTTGGGCAGGATAAAAGCCAGAGACTCCTGGACGAAGCTCATGTTCACATGGCCAAGGTTTCCATACTTGGAGAGCTGAGTGGGTGGAATACCTGACCCAGATGGTAGGGAAAGTTAGATGGAAAAACATTTAATAAGGTTCAATACTGATGTGTCACCGAAGAAAAACATAAAACGTAGAGGTAGTAGCAGCCACAGTCATCACTTTCGAATAAAGTTAAGGTCGTCTTTGTCCCATGGGACAGGAAACTATATTGTAAATCAAGACTAGGAAGGTAATCTGATCAGAACAGTGTAAGCCACAAAGAGACCCTCAGTGGGCGGTGGCTTCCTGTCACACGGAAGGGAAAAGGACATACAACTCTTGAGAGGCATGATCACTGGCCCTCTGCCTCTGGGAAGTTGTGCCTCTCCTACCAATTGCTACCCCATCTCTGCATAGAGAGGGCACAGGATAATGAAGGCAAATTGGGAAAAATCTTTAAAACTGGATATTTCATATAAATGGAATGACAGAACCCGTGGTTCTTTTGTGACTAGCTTCTACCACTTAGTCAGATACCCACGTTCTATGATTCCATTTACATTAAATGCCCCACAAAGGCAAACCTATAGTAACAGAAAGAAGGTGAGTGGTTGCATGTGGTAGGATGGGTGAATGTTAGAAATGGGCACAAGCAATCTTTTAGGGATGATGGACGTGTTCTAAAATTGAATAGTGGAAATGGAGGCATATCTCTGTACATTTATAAGAAAACACTGAACTTTACAAAGCAGTAACTGCTTTAGCATATTAATTATATCAACAGAATAGTTTTTAAAAATCTTTTTCTTACCTAAGGTCTGTGCTATCTGAGCTGGTGGAAAGAGGACTTGGAGACAACGATTTAAATATGGAACGAGGTCTTCCAAGAAGACAGTACAGAACTGGACGAAGAGTTCTTGCTCTCCACTGGTGAAGGCAGCCTCTTCCGCACGGTGGAAGGCCAGGATTATTTTGGTTACCTAAGAGATAAGGACACCATCAATCGCTAGGGCAGTCTATCTTCATCAACAGTACATGAGACTAAGCCAAAAGGTACAGTCCTCAAGTTTCATAAGAACGGTGTTCCAAAACTGTTTTGTTTAATTTCCGAATTGTTATCAGTCTTCACAGTTCTGTCATATCACTGATGTATTTCTGACCTAAGTGGTTTCATTTCTGGCACAGTTTTGAGTCCAATACATGAATGCATGGTTCTTGATTCCCATTGAGAGGAACCAAAACTATGTTAGATCCAGGAAAATGAAGCAAAACTATAAAATGTTCCTACTAAGTAAAGCCTCTAAGATTGCAGGATGCTAAAACCATTAGTATGATAAAGGGAAAAGGAAACAAGAGCTAGATGTTCCATCTACAAATAATAGCAGTCTAGCTGACATTACAGACAGGTATCACAATGACACGGTGAGGAACACAGGCTGGTTCCTGGGGTCAAGTCCAGGCTGTGGCACACACACTTCTGTGACTTCTGAGTGTTACATAAGCACTCTGTGCCCTCTGTGCCTATTTCCTTGTCTATAAAATAGGCTACAGGACCTACATACACCTCATAGGGTTGTGAAATCAAGTCTTAGTATGTGTAAAGTATGATGAATGGTAAACAGCATGGAATAAGATCTGCGTAACTAGTAGCTAATTACTCTCTTCTGAATTGCATGGACTTTAAAAAAGCTTCAGTGCTCATGCTTTCTTGATTTTATAGAACACCAACAGGATGATATAAGATGATTTTATATCATGTGCCCCCTGGATGACAGAAATTATAAGCTGCCATCAGTTGCAAAAAGGATTCCATTATCTAAAGTTTAAATATGTAGATATTATGCACCATCCTCAGGCAGTAGTAGTAGTGTGAGTACTAGATGTTCATGTGGCAGGTGGATACTAAGAGAGCTCTGAGATTCCCGGCTCCATTGTGTAAACTCCATCCCCTGCAGGCAGTCTGTGCCTTGCTTCTAAACAAAGAAATATGGAGGAGAGAAAAAAAGATTATGGCAAAGGTGAAAGCTGTGCAGATATGACTAAGTCACTAACCAGGTGACTCTAAATTCATCAAAAAGGAGATCATCCTGGAAGGCTCTGACTTAGATAAGCCTAAAAGAAGTTTGTGCTAAAAAGACTAAAGCATGAGCTGCTTTCCTGTTGACCTTACAGGATCCAAAAGCCACCTTATGAACTGCCTGTGAATTCAGCAGGCCCCAAGGAGCTGAGGCTTCAGTCCTGTTCTGCAGGGAACAGAAATCAGCCAAGGTGAATGATTCTGAAAGGGGTCCCCCAATTCCTGGTAAAAATGTAGCTCAGTTGACACTTAACTGTATCCTGTGCCATAGAAAATGAGAAATGTTGTTTTAAGCTGCTGAGAGTTTGTTATGCAGCAGAAAAACTACTAATACACTGCTAAATGTAAGCCACTTCATGGCACGTTCTAGGTCTCCAAAAGGGAAATTAACGTGCTCAACTAGGAATACATCTAAAACCAACACTCCAGCTCCCTTAAGTCAGCAATACCACCAACACAGGGACTGGTTTATGACAAAAGTCTAGCCACATGTTACTAAAGGCAGCTCCAGCAGAGCCAAGAGTCTGTACTCGCCTTGGCAAGGGCCTGTTCTAGGGCCATGGTCACATCCTGCGCCAGGGCCACAGGGCAGCAGAGGCGGAGATCGTTGAAGGCAACCAGAATACTGTTGAGGAAGCAGGCCAGTGGTGGGAAGTCTAATAGCACCATGGGTGGCTGCAGGGTCCCCGGCTGAGCAACTGGCTCAGCTGCAGGCAAGTTACTGCTGCCCAGGATGGCTGGAGTCAAGATGAGGGTGTAGGAATTCATTTCATCCTGGAACTTCTCCACCGCTTCTTGAACTGCTTTCTGGAAAGTGCTGATGGCCACCCGCTGGAAAACAGGAGCCAACTGACCCCGGAAATCAGCCCCCACTCGGCTGAAGGACAGCCCAAAGTACATGCACTGGCCCAGCAGAGAGTCCAGGCGGCCGCCTATCCCCCGATTAAGGTCTGTCTCCAGCAACTGCAAGAATTGTGAGACTTTCTGCAGCACCCAGCCATGGAAGATGGCACTCTCGTTCACGGTGTGCTCCCCCATGGGAGGGGGCAGCAGTGGATCCTCATCTGAGAAGATGGCACGGTATTGGGTAATGATGTCAAACAGATGTACACGGCATGCCTCAATGGTTTTTGTGATGTGAAAATAGGGATCATCATTGGGGATGGCAGACAGGATGGAACGGAGCCAAGCATCTCGGGCCTGAAGAAACTTCACTCTCAGCTCAGCCTCGGTGAAGACATCCATGCGCCGCAGGAAGCCAATAACACGGAGACAGGCGGGGAGCTGAATATTGGTCCTCAGTTGTTGGATCAGCTGGCTTAGCATAAGCTGCATGGACTGGCGCACTTCATTCACAATGCCCTGTCGATAAAAGGAAGTGAGTGTCACTACCACATGAAAACACATCCTGGAGCCCATTCCATGAACAGTGAACACTGTAGACCGACATTTCCTATTCTCCTAACACACAAACTTCCTAGAGGTGGTATTTCATAGGTTCACCAGCAAAGATCTGCTTTAGTCACTTTTGCTTAAAATTCTCAAAACCCTTGGCCTCCCTGATGGCCCATCAAGGAGACCTAAGTTCAGTTCCCAGCCGGGGAGCTGACCCACATGGCCCAGCAGACCTCTCCTGTCTTATCCATTGCTTCCCTCAGCAGTGTACTTCAGTAGATCCACCTGTTCTTTGCCCACTGTCTCTGGTGAATCCACTAGCCCTCTGCACCTCTGGCTTATACCCCAGTTCTATGCAAAAATAAATTTAAAAGAAAGTTTTAAAACCCTCAGTGACTTCCCATAATAATCAATAAAATTCAAACTCTTCACAGTGGTCTACAGCCCAGTTTGGGTCTCCAGACTCACCTACTTCCTAGTTCTCTCCACTTCCTCACTACAGTCCAGTCACATATTGGCTTTTTATTTCTTAAACTCTCAACTTTCTCCTTCCTCAGCTCGGCTACGTATTATTTCTACTTTCTAGCTTGCTCACATCTTCAACTGGCTGGCTTCTTATCATCTGGAGCTCAGTTTAAATGTTCTCTCTACAGAAAGCTTTTCATGACCACTCTACCTGGAGTAGTCTCTCTCTACTTTAGTCTCTGGTTCATTTTCTTCAGGAGCTTCTCACCATCTGAAAGGATCATATTATTGGTTCTTTTTATTTACCCAGCTTACATTTGTGATGGCCAGGAGCAACGTTTTATATTCAAGTCTACCTGACTGGCAGAAACTGAAGTAAAACATGCAAGGAGTTTCCTTATGTTTTTTGCCTAAAGGTTCAGGACAGCTACAGAATTACTGATTGATTACAAGAATTTCAGTTTGAGTCCTTTCTGGGCAGTTGGCTACCTGGATGACAGGGATGGAGGAGTATTTCCTTTCCAGTCGGTGTACATAGGCTGCAAGCTCCAGGGCTTCTTCAAAATAGCTGTTCCGGACACAGGTGTCCATGAGCTGGGGGATTTCCAGGATCTCCAGGATTTCTGTGTGCCGGTTTAGAGTCAAGGTGTTCATCCGACGGTTAGAGCTGATCTCTTCAGCTTCTTTCACAAAGTTCCTAGTGACAATCAGAAGAATGTTAGTCCCTTAGTGCTTTGTACTGAAATTTAAATTACAGTTGCCAAGCACTTACTATGAACTGGGCTAGAGAGAGAATCTGATTTAGCCCTTACACTGAATCTATGTGGTAAGTACTGCTATTCTTTAATCCCAGCAAAATTAAGCAACTTGTCCAGGACAACACTAGGTGACAAAGTGATATGAATCCAGAGTGGCCCAACCTAACCAGCTGTAGCAATATACTTAGGCTTTCTGAATCTTTCATTAGTAATAGGATCCATCTTATTTTGATTAAATGAGATGTGTAAAGCACTTATCAGAATCTGACAGAGTAAATGTTCCTTTAAAAGCTTTTTTTATTGTTTTCTTAATAAAGTGCAAACTAAGCTTGAAGCTACCTTACCCAAAAATTCTCTCAGCCTTAGTTTTCTATATTTTCATTCAAGCTTAGTTGCCACCAGTTTTCATTCCTCCATATTTGCAGAGAACTACTTTATGAAAAGCACTACCTATTCCTAGGAGTGCAGAGATAGTGGAAAGGTACAAAAGCTGTTGTCTGATAGTCAGAAAGCTCAAGAAAATCCATACTTTTATCATAGAAGGGTGGAAGGAAGAATTAAAAGATAATGGATTTAGGTAGGCAGAATGTAGTTCAAAAAAGATAGTTGTTTATGATCATTTCTGCCACCTCCATATGGGACTATTTCCTTGTCAGTTTTCTATCAATGACAGTTACAAAGCAGATCACCTTATATAAAATACGTCAATATGCATGTATATTAAACTAACAATGTTAACTAGGGCAGACCCAGTTTAAGTGCTTTGCATGTATTCTCTTTATTCAGTGTTCATTACTGTCTTCTCGAGGGAGGGAAGGAGGAAGGTGCTGCTGTGTTTCAGTTCTTAGAAACTTGACTAGCTACGACTTGGCAATCACTGACCTCTTCGTGTGTCAACTTCCTCATATATAAAATGAGAGTGACAGTACCTACCTGGAAGACTGTCGTGAAGTTTAAATGGATTAATAAAATGCTCAGAGGAGCACCTGGCATATGGTAAGCCCTGTGTGTGTATGCTATTACAGTTGTTAAAAACCCCTTTAAGCGCCTGGTGCGCCACACCTGCAGCTCTGCTGGAAGCTGGGCAAGCGATCGAGCAAGCGGCCGAGTGACGCCTCCACGTTGCCAAAGAGGCCGTGGATGTGCTCCGTGCACTCGGCGCCGCGGATGAAGGTCTTGTAGTTGGCGAAGGCCAGATCGCGGGTCTGCTGCAGCAGCTGGGCCCGCTCCTCCGCCAGGCGTTCTGGCTCGCGTCGCAGCCGCTCCAGCCCAGAGCCACTCAACTCCCGGAGGTAGCGCCCCACGTCGGGCCGCTCCCGCCACTGGGCCTCCGGGAAGCGGTCCCGGAACAGCGACGCCAGGAGCCCTTCATCTTCTACCTCCCCGAGAGCCGCCGCGGCGGCTGTCGCCGTGGCCGAAGACGGAGCTGAAGACGGGATGGTCGCCGCCGCCGCCGCCATATTCCCAGCAACAGCGTCAGTTCTCTCCCGCCCCAGAGAGGGCGCTGCTTCCCATTCTTAGGCCGGAAGCAAGTAGGATGTACTTCCTTGCCTATATGAGTTTTTTTTTTTTTTTCGGCTGCCGGCGCAGGAACAAACGAGCAGCGGCTAGAGGGGCGGGTTTTGGGATTACCAGGAAGTAACGTGCGGCTGATTTCCGCTTCCGGCGGCTGAGGCACGAGGATCCGGTGCTCCAGCCCAGCGGCAAAATGCGGCCTCTGACTGAAGAGGAGACCCGTGTAATGTTTGAGAAAGTCGCAAAATAGTAAGAGCGCGCGGCGCTGGGCAGGAAGTGTGTGCGAGGGTCGGGTGTGGGCCCAGGCCGTGGCGAGTCGTCTTGGGCGCGGTCTCCACCCCTTTTCTTTTTGCTTTTTGCCTTCAGCATCGGGGAAAATCTTCAGCTGCTGGTCGACAGGCCCGACGGCACGTACTGTTTCAGGCTGCACAACGACCGGGTGTACTACGTGAGGTGAGGCTGGACCGGCTGGACGGCGTGGACTCAGACGGGGACCTGGGTCCCCCACAGCCTCCTTCGTGTGACACATAGTTCTTCCTTAACCCCTTTAGTGAGAAAATCCTGAAGTTGGCCGCCAACATCTCTGGCGACAAGTTAGTGTCGCTGGGCACCTGCTTTGGAAAATTCACTAAGACCCATAAATTCCGACTGCACGTTACAGCTCTGGATTATCTTGCACCCTATGCCAAGGTTTGTGGGGTGGTTTCCAGTCTTCATTGGCGTGGAGGAAATCAAGGATGAGCGCTTCTACAGAAGGCAGATAATTGGGCAGCTCCTCTGCCACAGAGTCCCTAATAGTGCTTGGGTCAGCGCCAGCACATGGAGTTGTTTGAAGGTCTTGCAGTTGAGGTTAAGGTTGGGGGAAGTGGAGGGGGTTGGTAGCTGTGTAGTCACTGTTCTCTCTGGCAAAGGAAAAGCCTGTGTAGACCCAGCTGAATGTGGAAAAGTAAATTAGGTGTCTATGAGGAGGAGAATAATGGGATCCTGAAAAAAAAGAAAAAGCCCTTAAACTGGGAGAAATTGCTTGTAGAGTTGAGGAAAGAATCTCTTCCTGGTAGTTCTGTTCAGGGGGCGCAAGTTTGAGAGAAAAGTGAATCTTAAAGTTCTTTGAAGAAATTAATCAGAGAGCCAGTAGCTATCTTATCTTCAGGGACAGAATCATTAGCATTTTTCCATCTCAGGCATTGAATTCTTTTTCTTTTAGTATAAAGTGTGGATAAAACCTGGAGCAGAGCAGTCCTTCCTGTATGGGAACCATGTGTTGAAATCTGGACTGGGTCGAATTACTGAAAACACTTCTCAGTACCAAGGAGTGGTGGTGTATTCCATGGCAGATATCCCTTTGGTGAGTAGAGATGGTAGCTGTTATAAAAGCCAAGTACCTTTTTGCTCAAGAAGGATGTCTGTGTGCTTGACAAACTTAAATTCTAGCACTCTTTGAATTCCTCAGAGAAGAACTTTTCATCTTTGTTAATTCCAGCCCTGATGCATACTTATTGAATGACTTGAGTGAACCAGTGTCTCTTCTTTTGAATCCCAGGGTTTTGGGGTGGCAGCAAAGTCTACACAAGACTGCAGGAAAGTAGACCCCATGGCGATTGTGGTATTTCATCAAGCAGACATTGGGGAATATGTGCGGCATGAAGAGACATTGACTTAAAACGAAGTCATCGCAAGAACTTATGGCTGTGTGGAAGGGCCTAGCTTTGTTTCCTGTGTCTGTGTGGGCAGCGCCATCATGTTGAATTTTGTCAACACTGTGACTAATTCAGGGGCTTGATTTAATATTCTCTCAATTACAGGTCAATGCAGGATGATTTCTTACTATGCAGAAATGGTTCATGAACGGGGTATCAGATTGTTGTGTTTGTGACTAAGTAGAATATTGTGTTTTATGTTTGAATCAGAGGATATCTTATTTTGCATAACAAGTTCATCCTTGGCACTGGGCACAAAAAGGGCTTATCTGTGTTATCTGTGATAACTGTTTTCCTAACTCATAAAAACCCAATGGATTTTCTTCATTATTTATTTTGTGAAAGGTAGATAATGCTATATGAGAACAGTGAGAGATGGGGGATTTTACAAATTAAATTTGACAAAAATAGTAAGAATAGTTACAGTTTTCTACACAGTAGATGCTATGTATCATGGAAGAAAATCTTGGGATTTAAATTCCAGTTCTGATAAGCTGTGTGGCCTTCGATGAGTTGTTGAAGTTTAAACCTCATTTTCTTTTTCAAAAAACAGCTTATCAGCTTATTTTCTTCCTAAGAATGGTTTTTAGAATTAGAAATCATGGTTGTAAAGCACTTAGTACAGTGCCTGGCAAATAAAGGATAAGAAATATTTTCATACTGCATATACTGTAATTGAGTATGAGAAGGTGAGTCTTAAGAGTATAATTTGGTTATGTCATTTTGGTTTTTACAAGCTGTTTCTGGACTTTGTTTTCTTGGATGGTGTGATCCCTGGCTGTAATGTTTTCATCAACTTGATTTACATGGAGAAACAAAATTTCTCTATGAACTTTTACTGGACTGGACTGGACCAAAAGCACTGAACAGACACCCTGAAATAATTCAGCTATCTATACTTCTCACTGCTCCTGAACTGTGTGTGTTTTTTTTTTTTTTTTTTATGAAAAATGTTTCATGAAGTTTTTAAAAGTACTTATAAAATAATTTCTTTAGTAGACTACTTATTTTGAATTCCAAAGGTGACTTGTCTAAAAATAAAACATTTTTAACTATAGAAAGGCAGGCTACCCACTTCTAGCTTTGTATGCAACATATAAAACTGGGTTTTATATGTTTTGTCCCACTTTTTTTCAAGTCTTCTCTCTTCCAGGTTTGTCTTGTTAAGGGTCTGTTGGATGGTGAACACTATTTTGATAACATTTAGTGTGCGTGGTTTTTGTTTTTTTGTTTTTTTTTTTTAAGATTTTCTTTGTTTATGCATACAGAACTGTGGTACAGGCCAGTGGTGCAGGTGTGTTGAAAGGATTCACCAGAGCTAGTGGACAGCAAAATAGGCAGACCGACAAAGTATACTGCTGAGGGGAGTGTTGGTCCAGCCAGTAAAGGTCTACCATGTCATGTGCATCACCTCCAGGGCTAGGGATTGAACTCACTGAAGCAGCTGCAGCTAGCTTACAGTGTTGTATTTTTACCTGCTGCCCCAGCAAGGAGGACCCATTTAGTGCGTTTTTCAGAAATACTAAAACTCATTGCTATTTTGCTTTGTAAATGAGAACATTAGACAAAAGCCTTTTTTTTTTTTTTTTTTAAGATTTATTTATGCCTTCAGAACTGGGGTACAAGCCAAGGTGCAGGGGTTTGGTAAGAGGATTCACCAGAGACCGTGGGGAACAGAACAGGCAGATCAATGAAGTACACAGCTGAGGAGAGCAGTGGGCGAGGCAGGAGAGGTGTGCTGCACCATGGGTCACCTCCAGGGCCAGGGATTGAATTCGCACTGAAGCGCTGTGGCTAGCTTGCAGTGCTGCATCCTAACCTGTTGCACCAGCAGGGAGGGCAGACAAAAGCTTTCTGACTAGAAAATTTATAATTTACAATAATTTTGCAAAGCTGATTTGACTAAAGTAAAGCTGTCACAAACATACTGCCCCAGGAGAAGAGAGCCATGGTAATTTAGTTGGCTTAACATCTTGGCTTCGTTGTGTCTGTAGTTGCTGGGACATTGAAGAGACGCTTCAAGAAATACAACTGCAGGACCCCAGAAAGAACAATGACAAGGCTCTGGGTTGTTGACCACCAGTTCACATAGTTATAGTTTGATTGGAGAAGGAAAAAGTCAGCTGTTTTCCTCATACGGGCAAAGTTGTAGTGTCGCCACATGTGAAATATGTTCTTTTGCACCTTCCGTGTACTCTCCTGTGGGACAGATGAAATAAGGGCGTCCTCCCCCACCCCATCTAGATTCACCTGGCTGTTCACCAGCATTAACCTAACTTAATCTGGAACTTGAATAACTTTTGATTTTATGATATATATTAGGTAGTTTCTAGTTGTTGAAAATGCTAGTTTTGCTGCAGATGTAAAATAATGGCCTGAGTTTTAATTTTTTAGTTTTTTAATAATGAAAAATGTCAGTGGCGAAACTAGAGGTTTCTTCTAGAGTATCTCTAGATTTTCACATTTATTCAGCATATCATTGCTATTCTGAGTAATGTCTTCTGCTCTATGTGTGAGGAAGGAAGACAGGGTCTACAAGCCTCTTTTAAAGAGCCATGCAGTAAATATTTTAGGCTTTGCAGGCTATGTATTCTGTCACAACTATGGAATTGTGCTATTGTAGCCCCAGAGTAGTGATTGACAATATGTAATTGTCAAATGATGATGGCATTGTTTACCCAAACTTTCCAAAAACAGGGAAGGAGACTATCGAGAGAATGGGAGAAAACATCTTGAATATATTTAAAAAACTTCTTACAACTCAACAATAAAAAGGTAAATATCCCAGTTCTAAAATGGGCAAATGATTTAAGTAGACATTTCTCCAAAGAAGATAAATTATCAAAAGCACATGAAAAGATGATTGATGTTATTTAGTCATTAGGGAGACAACACTCAATCCCCTGAGGCACTGTTTCACACTTGCAAGATGGCTGTATATGTTGGTAAGGATGCGGACACATTGCAACTGTTTTATCTTCTGGTGGGAATGTAACCATATGACCTGCAGTGTACCACTTATAGATAAAAATAAATGAAAATATTCACACAAAACCCTGTTTGCAGTTGTTCACAGCATTTTCCCAATAGCCCAAAATGGAAACCACCCAATGTCTAACAGCTAATGAATGGATAAAATGTAGATCTGTGTAAAATAGAATACTACTCATCCTTAACAAAGGCTTAAGTACTAAGAAGAACTCAAATTTTGTCTGCAACATGATTAGTAAAGGAAGCTAGTCACAAAGGCGACAGGCAAATTTAAGGAGTTAGAAAGTAGATGATTGCTCAGAGGATGTGGAAACAATGACTAATGGGTATGGGGTTTCTTTTGAGTTGGTAAAACTTTTGGAAATGGGTGTTGGTGATGGTCATAGAACACTAAAATACACTAAAAAATCACTGGTGTGTTCAGTTCAAATGGTGAATTAAGTGGATCCTGAATAATATATCAAAAAATATGGAATAAAACAGGCAGGGGGCCAGATTTGGTCTGTGAACTGTGATTTGCCCTCTACTGGTATACAACAAACGAATTTCAGGAGCTCCACTGTCATAAAAGTGAAAGGATTCAGATCCTCTTGCCTGTTTTGTTTCAACTCAAGTGAATCTTTACTTATTTGATACTATTCCTGTAATTCTAATCATTCCTCCAAATTTAAAATCAGCTTCTACTGATTTTCTATCCTATAAAACAGTTACCTCGATTGCATCCAGAGTATCATTCAGTTGTTTTCTTTCATTACTTTGTTTATGGTCCATTTCAGGGTCCTCATAGAAGACTCCAAAATTGAGGTATACTTGCACAGAACCAAAGTGATTTTGCTGATTTTTTAGACAAAGCTGATAAAAACCTGTAGAAATACTGAGATCATTACCAAGACTTGGTGTCCTTCCCTCTGTTGACCTCCCATTCTACCCGTTAGGTTTCTCTGGCAATAACTATTAATTTCTGATAAATAAGACACTAATCTCATCTGGAGCTTTTCTTGACTTTAGTTCTGTATCATAGAAAACATTATTGATCCCTCTTAACTATAATTTACACGTCAAGGAATTTTCTGCTTCACACTGAATTAAAATTAAGGTGTTTCCCACTTTGTATGCCATTAGAGCTTGGGGATACCATCTTTACTTTGAAACTTGGAAAAAGACTTGATACATTTGAGTAAAAGAAGGTACTGCTGGAGTAACTTCCTGAAGGGGCTGATAGTTCGGGGCATGTTCTGCTGCTGGGGGTCAACCGGGATGGTCTCTGAGAAGGGAGATTGGCACAGTTAAGGAGATGTGGCTTGTATTTGTCAGAATAATTGGAAAGTACATGTAGGGGGTCAAGAATGCTGAATATCTTGTACATGATGGATAATCTTATGCTGCTGTTACTTCCGACCAGCATTAAAACTGGTTAAAAACTGGCTGGTGCTGTCTAATGTTAATCTTGCTATGGAAGTTCTCTGGTGACTGAAGAAGCTTCATTGTGGAATACAATTTTTTTTTTTTTTTGTCATGGCCATGCATTTCATTTTGTTCTGAGTCTGCTTTTTGTTATCAGCAGCTAATAGTCTGATAATTGGAAAGAAATGCTATCCAATAATAAATTCCTTAAGTGGGATGCTGTGTTAGAAATTACTCTCTTTTTAGTTACTTTCACATAATCTCATTATCTGATATGTTGGAAATGATGAGGTGAATGTAAGCATCTGGATCCTGGTACTACAATAGTCACCTGGAGTGGACTCCTGCTTAATGTCCCCGGGCCATCAGCAGTCCTCGGGAAAATTGATTTTCGATGTTGAATGGATGGTGACTTCCTGTGTCACCATCCCTGTGTGAAAAACCAGGGCTTTTACATCTCAGTTAATAAATTTTAGTACTTGCTCATTAATTCCCCAACTTAAAAGAAACTTAATGGCTATGATAATTGTGATGAAAACAGACCTGTCTCTTGGGTAGAGAAGTTAATTTGGCCTCGAACATTCTGAGAGGTGTCTATGAGAAAACCCTGGGGCGTATGTGCAGTGGCAGTAACTTGCCGGTCGTGTGACATTCCCAGTGTCCGTTGAACCTGCCAAGACACATTAAAGGGAGAAAAGCCCCAGCTACATCACTGAGAAGCTGGCTGCATGCTAGCACCAACGTCTTGTGAACATCATCACAGGATCGTCTGACCAAACTGAGCTAGTGGCTCTCTGATTTGCCAGAATTGTTCTCCCCTCCCCCCACATAATGTGCAATATCTTTCCTTGAAATCTTTGGGTATACCTGCAAAGTTTACACCATATCCAGCACAGTGGTTCTCAGTCTGGATTTTTACTGCCCATCCCCTCCCCCCCGAGAATCTGCATTGAGATATTGATGTTAAGAAGTGGGGTGTAGGGAGGGATAGCAAAATTGAATATGCTGTCATGTTAGAAAGGGTATTGCAGGACAGTTGCTGATGGCACCCCAGTTAAGAAAACATTTCTCAGACCATGTAGCTGTCATGTGTTAGTATGTATGAGTCTGGCTGTTGAGTTCATGACTGAACTTGCTTGGTTTTGACCTCTCTGGTGGTATCCTACATTAGGGCTTCTTTGATACTTGGCAGCAAATAAATAAGGCGCTCAGTAGGTACTTGCTCTTAAGCTGGGTCTTAATAGACCCAGGCTACAGTGAGCTGACCAGCAGCTGCTGTACTAATAGAGATAAGAAAAAACAGATAAATTACTTTAAAATAAATTTTAAGTTACAGTTGGAAAGAGTAATGTCAATATCACCTTATTATGTAAATAAAAATTAGAAAGTTAACAGGTTTCCAAGATAAAGAACAAAGGAAATGAACCGCCTCTAATTTTACCATGGAACTCACCAAGCATTGTGGTGTTAGAATACAGGACAGATAAAGTACTTGATCTGTGAACAAGACCACTTTCCTAGAAGAAACGACAGACTGACCAAACAGGGATGCTTTGAGCCAGCGGTTCTCCTATTTGCTAGAACTGCCATTACAGACAGTAGAGTAAATGTTGCTCTCCCAAACCCCATAAAGTAGGGCATCTTTGAAATTTCTGGATCTACCTCCAAAGTTCATGTGACTTTTTTTTTCAACTTTGTTCCACACCCATGTTTTGATATCTGAAAATGCATTCCCTCTCTTCTCATTTCCAAACCTAAGATGATGATTAGTTCTCTAAGACAAGATGCTGTCTGTGCCAAAACTTTTAACACACTGCTATAGCCCCCAGTTGAGAAGTCAAGCCATATGTTTTTGTGATTGTCTCGAGTTTTTATGTAATTCCAGGTCAATTTCATTAACAGATAGTAAAGTCACATCCTAATAAAGATAGCCAGAACCTTGTATTCATGTAAAATGTTGACCCATATTACAAAAGGAAAAAAAATTCCCAGTGTGGCCACAGGAGCCCAAATACCCACCTCATAACTGAAATACATGTATCCCGTCTGGTGGGCAAATTGCCAAAAACATTCTACGCCTCCTGGAGGGATCATGATGGCAAAGTCATATCGATTGGCTCCATGGAAGAGTGGCTGATCCCCAGAACCTTCTGTCTTCTGGCTCCTTGCAGAGATCACTAGATTCAGAACCAGCAGTTCAGCCCAAAAGAACAGAGAGGACATGCTGCTTTCTGGGGACTCCCCTGTAAGTAAACTATTTGCAGCTAGTAGAACCAGGTAGTTCAGACAACCACCTAGGTAATCATTAACTGCACGAATCACATTTAGGCCAGTTTCAGGGCCATGCATAGATATTCCAGAATAGAACTAGCATAATACTCATACTTGGCTCATAGATACCAGATAGAATGTACTCAGAAGAGGTATTTAAATTCTTTGGGCTTATTTTTCAGTTCTGTTTCTTGAGAATAACATTGGGTAGATGTATTAACAAACAACTGTCTGAATATACTTGAAAAGTTAGCTGGAAGGATTTTTCTCACTTTCTCATGTTTAATTGCTAGAAGACACCTATTGTTCTTATGTCACACATAGGACAACATGTGATTTCAACAGACTTCTGCCCAGTGCTACAACTTTGAGGGCAAAATCACAACTTGGAAATGTGTGCAAAATTTTAATGGATGAGTAAACAAGACAATGGTCAGACCTCTCCACTTATAGTCCTCCTTGTTCTGCTACCTAGCACCTGTTAATTCATCTAGAGTGATCCAAAACCCATCTAAAGACTACTGAATTGCTCAAATTTCTTTATTTTCTTGTATCCCTGACTTCTTCAGCATCCAGAGGAAGGTTCATTGAACACCCACTCACTTCATGGCCAGCACTGAGTTAAGGGATTTACTTACCTGCATCTTATTCCACAACAGCCCTGCTAGTGAAGTACCATTGCCCACAGTGTTACAGATAAGGAGAAGACACTTTCAAACATCCCAGGAACTGGATCCACTGTCTAGCAAGCACAACTGGCAGAGGTGGGGCTGAGGGCCTCACATTCTTAACCTGCCGCGCCAATGTTTCTATGAGTCATGGAGTTCTGACAATGTATAAATGGTTTTATTTCATCCATATCAAAACTTATATTAGTACCTCCTACCTCAGAATTCACTGTATTGTTAATTTCAAGTAGCTAACACTTTGCCACAAGCTGAGAGAGAACACACTTTCATAATTGTGATCATTTCTAGTAAAGGCCAGAAAACATCACAGCACTCTGGAAACACAATTGCTCTCTTGCTTCAGAGAAGGTTGCAAGCTGGGGACTGTTTTTTAGTACACAGCAGCACACTCAACCTGAGTGCCACCAGGTTGGCCAATCATGATCAGTGACTTAGATTCAGCAAAACATCAGTTACAGTGTGCTTCAACAGTTCTACAAAAGCTGTAGTCACAGTATTACATTTGTATACATTTCAGTGACACTACAAGAACACAAAAATTATATGAACTCTGTTTTTAAATCTGAGAAACAGTGGTTAGGATAGTGTGCTTCTCTATATGCAACACAGTGTTGCCCTTCTATTAAGGAGAGAATAGCTTGGAATACCACAACTAGCTGCAACCAGAAGGTGGCTGGATCAAGAGGATCAAGTTCTCACCTCACTGAAGTTTCATTTCTACTTAACAACAACAAAAAAAACCCCAGCAAACCCAAACATAGTTATAGCCGTAAAGCTGTACAAAATTTCCAATTTAGAGCTACAGGGTGCATTTTAGAATTCTACTATTTTACACCTTGCCTTTCAAGGGATAATTTTTCTTTCTCCAGAAGTATGGGATGTGAAGAGGTAGACAAATCAAGAGGGATCTTCCACAACTTTTCTACACTGCTTCCAAAGTTTCTTCAGTGTTGCCTTTGGATGACCTCAAATTCTGAACATAGTCAACGTGGCTCATAAAAGCCTCTTCAACATTATGTTACCTCCACCTGTTCATACATGATATGCTACAATTAAAATGCTACTTATGTTTGAGAGAAGCAGTACTTTAATGAAGAATGCTACAAGTTATGGACAATAATTAGTTCTCGTTTTAAAAAAAGATTACAGAAAACACTTTACTGAATTTTTTTTTCTTTTTTTTTTTTTTTTTTTTTGCTAAAAAGTCTTTAAGGATGCCCAAGAAACAGCAAGCACAACACAGTACAAAAGGAAAAAGGAGAAGGGAATGTTGAATTTCAGTGCAAGACACTAACACAGCACAACTAGGGAATCAAGCGGGAGCTACCATTTCACAAAGAATGGAATTAGACATTTATATTCAATTGGGATTTTCTTTTAGGCTTTAAAAGTTCGGCATAGGTAGGAAATTGGCAGGGGAGCATAGGAAGAGGCTAAGTTTTATCTATAATCACCATTTTACCAAAAAACACATTGGTTCAACCACATGAGAAATGGAGGTTAAACCTGTCTGTGCAGCCCAGCAAATAATACAAGCAAATGCTAAGACAGTCAAGTCTCAGTACTGATGTCACAACAGGCTAAGCAGTTTTAACAAAGGACTCTGATTTTACCAGGACTGGTCTCATCACCCAGGGCTCATTACAAAGTTCCTTCGCATTTGCATCAGAAGGCCAAAGCTTTACCTGGATTATGTTCACTCCAAATAATGCTCTTTTTGCTGGTTTTAACAGGTTGTGAAGTCAAAAAGTGGCTCCTAAGAGACTCCACCATTTCCTAGGAGAGGTTCTACTAATTACCAGGAATTTAAGTTCAAGCAAACCACTAAAGAAGGGAAATACTAATGATATTCTGGCACTGTACAAGCTATGTGCCTGTCATCTCTGCCAAAGATATGGGGTGAACTTGGCTTTGTTTCTCAGCTCCAAGAGCAGTAACATGAAACTGGGACCTCCGCCCCCCCCCTCAGTGTTGGAGGAAGATGCCCAAAATTCTCAGCCAGCCCAGCTTCTGAAACAGACTACCAAGGGATATTATTAGGAACTACACTCCTATGAATTCAGTGGAATTGAAAGCCTGTTTCAGTTCATGCCAAGTCTTTTCATGGTCCGCCAGCGATCCTTAATCATCACAGCTGTTCGGTTAACAAATGGGTAATTTTTAGAAATGGCAGCCCAGTTTCCTTCCCCGTATTTCTGTACTCCAGCTTTGACCCACTCACTTTCTTCTATAGTCCATTTCTGCAAAAACAAACAAAAAAACGAAAGGTTTATCACAACCTATCTCTGCATTTACATTTTTATACAATGAAGAAGAAACTAAAGAATCCTACAAAATTGGTGTGAACCTAGAGGATTGTATTTTTAAAATATGACAGAAATAATAACTGGACACATCTGATAATTTTCAATGGCCTGCCATTTCATCTCAGCTAATAATCATTCAAAACTTCAAATGTGCATTGTTCAGGGTTAGTAAAAATATGTCTTGTTTCTGTCCTTTTCTTTCAGGGAGTAACTACTAACTTTAGTTTGGATTATCTGAAAATGCACAACATTTTATATCCAGGTTGCATGGATAGTCTCTGCTTTTGAGATGTAGGGACTTATCTTACCTTTGTTCTCCCCACACAACTATAAAAGGGAATTTTAAATTACCTGCTTTTTTGTTATACTGGTTGCACTGTCTTCATCTGCTGGTGCTGCTGGAAAACATTAAAAGTAGACTCATTTCAGCGCTCACCTTTCTCTGCACAAATCATAAGAAAAAGACATAGACTGTCCCTAAAGGGATAAACTTAAATAAAATTTCACAAACTTTGAAAAAAAGAAAGGATATCACTAAAGGATAGTTTATTGCAAGATACCAGTCATTTCAACCTATGAGAATCTCTGTACAGTGCATACATATAGGCATTCAATAAATATTGGTTAAGGATGAGTTTGGGGCTCTTTTTTTTTTTTATTTAGGTTTGTGTACAAAACTTGTAGTTCACAGGTGTTGAAAGTGAGAGGATTCACCAGAGACAGAGTGGAGAGCAGGACTGGTAGACTGACTAAAATATACTGCTGAGGCGAGCAGCAGGCAAGACAGAGAGGTCTTTTGCACCATGTTGGTTAGCACCCTGGCTGGGGATCAAACTCATGCTACAGTGGCTGCAGATAGCTTCATAGTGCTGAGACTTAACCCCTTGTGCCACCAGGAAGGCGCCCCCAAAAGGTCATTCCTGAAATTACTATAAGGCTGGTATTTGAAGCCCATACAAATAAGAATGTATGGCTAGATCGAAGGATATATATAGGTACATATAAACATATGTATGTACACATAACATCTTTATATATGTGCATATAGATGTACATACATATGTGTATGTGTTTTTCATGGTTCAGTTCCTTAAAAGAACAGGGTGATACTGCTTTTGTACTCTGCCACATCATGGGAGATGCAGGCAGTTTCTGTCCTTCCACTATAGGAAATACCTGGCTTCAGAAAACATGCCCCAAGAGGTTAAAGACTTAGCACTATTAAGTTATATCACCAACCACTGAAGCATGAATTTGATCCCAGAGCTGACCTACATTGCACAGCAGACCTCGCCTGTCTCCTGCTGCTCCCCTTAGCAGTATATTTTCCTAGACCTGCCTGTTCTGCTCCCCACTCTGGTGAATCCTGTCACCATTCGCATCTCTGCCATACATCCTAGTTCTTGTATGCATAAATAAAACCAAAAAAAAAAAATGCCCCAAGATTTTAAAGGCTACAGGAGACTCTACTATTAAAAAAGATAAGTCATTTCAAGCCTATGAGAACCAATGAACAATCTAACAAAAGGCAAAGTTGCATAATAAACATGAAACTTGATAGAAGTCTGCCTTAGCAGGTGCCACTATTCCGGCAATGCTTCCTAAACAGTGGAGAAAGGTGACTCAGGGAGATGGATATTTCTAAGGAGGTTATTTTTCATTTATAATTTCATAATGCAGTGGAAGCAGATTACAGTATGACAAGTCTGGGCTGCTCTGGACATGAGTATTTCCTATAACATATTCTGTTCAAAGTAATACAACTTTTACTGGTTTTATTTCCCTCCCCTTTTTTTTTTTTTTTAAAGATTTATTTATTCATACAGAACTGGGGTACAGGCCAGAGATGCGGAGGGTGAGAGGGTTCACCAGAGAACAGAGTAGGGAGCAGAACAGGCAGATCGACGACGTACACTGCTGAGGGGAGCAGCGGACAGGTCAGGAGAGGTCTGCCACGCCATGTGGTCACCTCCCGGGCAGGCGGGGATCGAACTCATGTGGAAGTGGCTTTAGCTTCTTAGTGCAGTGCTTTAACCCGCTGCGCCACCAGGGAGGGCCTATTTCCCATTTTTTATATGATCTTGGCAACTATGTTTTTCTCAATAATGATGATTTTTTTTGAGGACAAAGCCTTTGGTGGGCCTTCCTTGGTAGCACAGTGGTTTAAAGCACAGCACTATGAAGCTCCCCAAGTTTGATCCCTGACCAGGGAGGTGAGCCACATGGTGTGGCAGACCTCTCCTGACCCACCCACTGCTCCCCTCAGCAGTGTATTTCAGTACATCTGTCTGTTCTGCTTCCCACTTTGTCTCTGGTGAATCCTTTCTGGCTCCTCTGGCCTGTACCCCAGTTCTGTATGCATAAATAAATAAACCTTAAAGTTTTTGGACTTCACAAAGGATTCCTGTTGCTGTGTTTCAAAGGTCTTTAGAATCACCCAAATTAGGGTTTAACACTAAGATATTTCCATTAGGATGCAAAATATGTGGTTCAGTATTAACTATGGAAAAATGAAGCATCTCATCTTAGGGGAAAAATGTAAAAGAACTGTTAAGAGGTTTTGTACAAATGCGAGGAATAACTATTTTTACCTTTTCTAATTAAAAGACTTTAAGAAGAACATCAGCTGTAGTTAAATACAGAGCTTATTAAAACAAAATCAGGAATTTTCTTTGAAGTGTTGCTTTGACAGTCTTCATTGCTTAATGGGAAAGGACATAAAGCTGACTTCTTATGAATCAAAGTGAGGAACTTAAACGTTTTCTAATTGGAGACAAGCACTTTCTGGAATATTAATGTGACAATAGCATGCATCAGCTGTTCAGCAAGTCTCAAAGAAAGAGCAAGGAGAATCTCCTAGCTTACCCTGAACTGGAAACAGTTCGTCCTCTTCCACCCAAGACTCTTTTTCTTCAACCCCATTAGAGCTGTTCCACTTGCCTTTGGGTACTCTGAGGGGAGATCAGTGAGAGGACAAGGTGTAAAACAATTCATCCTAGGTTATCCCATACTCTGTTCCTAACTTGCTTTCGGCCCTAAACTTCCCCCCTGTGCTACTGCGACACCATTTGAGGTTCACCTACACACAGCTCTCAAACCCACTTTCCTTTTTCCTGACCTAGCTTGGAGCAGGTCTATGTCAGCATCTCTCAAATGCAGGGTCACCCTTCACATTCAGCACATTACCACACCCCTCAAAACCTGTTTTCTTTTTGGTTTGATGTTGACTCTAATGCAGAAGCTGCAATCTCCTCCTTCATAGTAGTGTTCTGTTTCTTACTCTGGACTGTTCTGTCCTCCAATCCAAACCAGTGGTACCTTTCACCAGTGTTATCTAGCCTCTTAACCAACGCCTCTGCCCTTAGACCCTTCCCTTTCCCAATTTACCTGAACAGTTCTAAAATTATCATCCCTCTTCTATTTGTGATGTCTTCTCACTACCTAAACAAGGAAGCCTAAACGTGTTCATGTGGGAAATTGAGATCATCCAACTGGCATCCAGTTTCTTGTGACAGTGCCTCTTTGTGCCACATAAAGAGCTATGCATCTTTGCTCCTCCTCCCTTCTATAAATCTGTTCTTTGCTGCCTCTTTATGTATGTTCCCTCTGCTTGGGAAAAAGACATAGAATGTTCCTAAAGGGAAATACTTGACTCTGTCTACTTATCCCAGTGCTGGGACAAACATTAACCTGTGGGTCCTCCAGTCCTTCATTTTGAGAAACTGTTCTTTCTTCTTGTGGACAACTTAGGCAGACTCAGCACTTCCTGCATGTACAGCTGTTTTGGCTCTTCCTACTTTCTTGTGTTGAGGAAGGGACTGAGATCTGGGTCTTCATCTTAATTGTCAGGTGGCTCTGCCACCCAGACAAGGCAGCTTACTTCCTGATCCACATTCCTCGTTGAAGTTAGAACTTGATGAGCAATGAAGGGTCTTGAGTTGTAAGCAAGCTATAGTCTACAGTGCTGGTCTTTGTACAGTCCTCGTTAAGAATGGCTTTTAAGTGTTAAAGAACAACACCAAAAAAAAAAAAAACCTAACCAAAGTTACCTGATAGAAACATTAATGACCCTCAACACCTAAAACATTAACCATTTGCTGACCTTTTATAGAAGTTTGGAATATGGGTTGTTAAATTGCAGGCTAATAAACATCTGGTAAGCACTTCTGTGCCAAATATCATGGATGATAGAAAAATCTAGTAGTTGTGGCTCTGCCTTCCAGGTGATATACTCTAATCTTGCCATTCTCTCCTGATTCCATTGCTCAGCTTCCCCTAGGCCCTAACTGCTCACCTAGCAACAGTCTCCATCCTCTCTCATCCCTCCTTTCCCTCAGTGTCAATTCACAATTCCTAAGGGGTGTCTTATTAGGCCTTCAGATTGGCTGTATTAGAATTATCTGGGGCATAACTAGAAAAGCAGTTTATAGAGCATTCCTGTGGCCCTTCTAATTTGGTAGTCAGAAGCCCAAGAATGTGTATTTTTTAAAACTGACATGAACCCAATTTGAGAACCCATCCACATTTTTCTCCCCTTATCCTCTAACTCAGTCCTATACAGACTACAGGATGTTTTTTGATACATGCCAATCTTTCTCATGCCTTTATACAAAAGGTTTCTGTTTCCCAGAACCCCCACCCCCATTGTGTTTGATGACATCCTACTCCTTCAAGACCAGCCTGACTTTGCTTCTCTGAAAGATGCACCCCACCCCTAACTCTGCCAAGCAGGTTCATCTCTCTTCTTCCCTAGAGCTGTCAGGATACCTCACATGTACTCCCCCTTACAGCTGAGCTGTATCCCATTTTTCTTCAAGGGACAGAGAATAACCTTCTGCTTTATAGGTCTTACTCTCTAAATAGCATCAGAAGCAGCCAGACAGTATGTAAATGATGGGTATGTCTGTGTTCCGTAAAACTTTTATTTACAACACAGGCGGCAGGCAGATTTGGCCTAGGGGCCATAGTTTGCCAATCTCTGTTTTAGTGTACCCATCATACTTTCATGTCAGGGTATGAATGTCTAAAATCTTCACACACACCCCTTTATAAAATACTATAAGCATACTCTCGAGTTCCTTGTCTGTTCGTGGGAGTAGACCTACACTCCACAGGCCTGCTGTGAGGAGCAAATGAGATCATCTATCAAATGGGAATGAAAGTATGTGGAGCTGCATCTGCTTGCCCATTAGCTAGGTCCATCTGCCAAACTTACTTTCAAACACGGTGGTGGTGCACACAGTACGAATTCGTACCCGAGTACAGATCACCTATCAGATGCCACAGCAGCTCAGGGCACCTAGTGCATACATGCCAGAGTAGGGGCCAACGACTACAACAGAACAGTGGTAGATGGCAGTGGCCTTGGGAAACCAGTGAGGTGATGACTTAACAGCAGGTGACCAGAAGAGATGGAGGAGGCAAAAGTTTAAGATGCAGCCTGGTGTATATGGTGTACAGGCCACGATTTTTGTGTCAAGACTGACATGGAGTAAAAATCCGAAAGCACAACTTTGCCACTTTTTAGCTGTGTCACTTCAGGCAAGTTAATGACTTCTCTCAGCTTTCCTCATCTATGAAATGGGGATACGGTATCACAGAGGGAGGACTGCAGAGTCAACAGAATAATAGGCGAACATGCTGGGCCCACAGAAACAGTCAGCATCAGGTTCTCTTCCCTTTGAAGGATGGATGGAATTCTGACAAGCAATGATGGAGGGATGACAGTCAACCGTGGGCGATGAGAGGAAGCGAGAGGACAGTAGTGGAAATAAACAGGGTGCTTCAGAGAGGGAGCAGACCAGCTTGTCTGGGGGAAGGACCTACTACATGGCACAAAGGGTAGCAAAATGCAAAACCCGAGTTGGGGTGGTGATGGGGGGCAAAATGAGGGCTTTCTAACCACTTCCCCACAGAACCTAGCAGAATGTGGGCGATCAGTAAATACTGTATTTGCCAAGTCTCAAATGCTCATAGAAGGTGCAAAACTAAATAGTCAGGTCTCTTCAAGGATCAAAGTTTAAGGTGACTCAATTCAAACAAATTCCTTTTAACAAACAAGACTAATATTTAGTAGATAAGGCACTCAAAAGTCTGCTAATAATGAAAGCAGTGATGAGGAAGAGGCTCTTTAAGCCTCCCACCCTCATTCATGCCCTGGAGGCCCAGGTGTGGGACTTCAGAATTGGCCATCATTTCCCACTCCCGAGTCACATTCTAGCAGTCTGAGCAAGCTTTGGTGCTGAATAACTTAGCTGAAAGTTACTCCATTCATGGAAGCAATACCAGGCCCACCAACCAGCCCCCAAACTGCTACAAAGGATGTCTTCATACTTGGGATTCTTCTCCCCAAGGAGGGGTTGGTTTGGAACAGTGGGCTTGGATGGTGATGCTGGACCGTCATCCTGGGAGGAGTCGAGGCCTGTGTTCGGTTCAGTACTCTGGCTGTCCTCCTCCAAAACCAATCTGCTTATTGTCATGCGCTTGTTCTTGGGTTGCAGTTCAGAGCCACCCTCACCCTCAGCAGAGGCTGAATTTTCATTTTCATCTTTTCTCGGTCTCTTGTTTTTGAGGGCTGGTGATGGTGGGGATACTTGATTAGGCAGTACTAGGTCTTTCTGGTCCAGTTTTGAGAAGGCTGCCTCAGAATCCTGTGCACTGGACAGAGTCTTGAAAGCTGCTTTCAGAGTCATAATTCCAATGGTGGTTGGAGTATTCCTTAACTGCCTGCAAATAAAGCAAACATGGACTCATGTTACCACTGCTGATACAACCACACCTTTTCAAAGTGTGGAGCTTCAAATTGGAGAGGACTCCTGATGTTGAGAAATCTTCTTTTAGAAACTGCTTGACACAGCCTTTATGAAAAGCATCCAATGAATATAAGCAGGAGCTTTAAATATGGCATATAAGTTATGGAGTTTAACCACCAAGTAAGAGAAACATAAAGGAACAAGGCCAGTGATTCTGCCTCTAGAGACCTCTGTAGGTTGCATGCTATCTCACTGTCCATCTGGTCTAAAGGAATGTTTTGCATTTTGTAAGGACATGCATAATGCTCAACAGTACCCAGTCCATTTGAAGAAACAGCTGACAGCCTGGCAATCTCACCCTGAGAACCTTCTTCCAGACCTTTTTCCAGTTGTCCCAGCTAACACTCATGTGAAAGAAATTAAAGACTGCCTATATCCTGCCTTTTTTCCTACAATACACTTATGAATGGGATCCTAAGAACTGTTAGTGAGGAGGTCCAGTGTTTCAACAGTAAGAAAATGCCCTTTCAAAATATTCGATCTATCATTTGGAATAGCTAGCATGCTTGAAACAAGTGGTAAGAAAGGGCAAACTAGCAGCCTGTAGGCCAATCCCAGCTGGCAGTTGTGTCCTGATACAGGTTTGTTTTCTTAAATTGGACTAACAACATATAAAAATTGTGAAATCTGAGAGGAGAAAGTGTGGATGTCTCATGCCAAAACTGACTTTTGGGTATCCTTGTGGCAGTAGTCACTGAAACATGGCCCTCCCTGGCTCACAGGCCCAGGCTCTCCACTGGATTATCCTAGACCCAGTTTGCTCCTTTACATTTCCTACCAGCCCCCAAAAGCAACTTGTGATGGTCTTGATTCACAAGTCTGAATACTGTTTCTTGAATGCAGTAAGAGATGTATCCACAAGAAAGTACTAAGTAGATATAGGTGAGGCAAAGAGTATCAGAAGGAAAGAACTTTTGAGAAATTTCTGTCAGGGATCCAAATCCCATCTCCAATATGCTCATTTTCCCAGGGAGTCTTTTGTAACTTCCACAGTGTCTTGTGTGAGTAGCCCATGACACCTTAGTAGGTCATACCATCAAGAGAAACTAATTGATCCTCCTCTAGGAGACTGCTCCGAGCAGGCCACCCCAGTGTTTCACAACCGTGATCATGAGAGGGTATCCCTCTCACCTTACAGGTTCTCGGGTTGGCTTTTCCACAGGCTCTGGTGCTGGCTGTTTCTCTTCCTTTGCTGTAGCTGAGGCAGCAGATTCAGATTTCAAAGCTTTCTTGGCCATCTGGGAAAGGAAGTCAGTCATCAGGAAGAGAGGAAGCTAGAGAATCTCACTTATCCCCTGCTCTCACCATGAACATTCTCAATATGCAAACATGTTCACTCACAAATCCAATCTAGAAATATAAAGGGAGGGGGAACATAAAGCGGGAGAAAGCTAACAAGATTTATCTCAGATTTCTCCTTTCCTTCCTCAAAAAATAGCTCAGTTACCAGTCTAAAGGAGATCTCAATTTGAGTGGTGCAAACCACTTTGATACTGCAAATTCTTTACTTAACTTCTGAACAACAAGTAAATTACATGATGTCACTCCACATCTCATTTGTCTTTTCAATTTCATCATTAATCTAGTTTTCTAAGCCCCAGGTGTAACTTTTACATCATGCAGAAAGTCAAACTTTTTTTCAAAGTTAGGATAGCTATATATATCTTTCAGTTTGTGTACAGAATTTTGTATGACTCTATTTCCACAATATTTTGTCTTATTAACAACTCTGAAAGCCCTTGTTTATATCATATAAAACCCTGAGTAGCCAATACTGCTCTAACTTCAACTTTTCATGTCTCCCTCTGACATTTCCAGTCAGTCCACCATTTTATTTCAGCTATGTGTATCTGTAACAAGAGCTTAAGAGCTGAGAGCTCCTCTATCTTTACACAGAAACAGTGGCAGGTTATTTTCTAGTTACTTGGAATACAAATACAAAGAAAATAATCCTAGGCCAGGCTCATGTTGTCTTGACATTCCCTGAATATTCTAAACTATCTCTTATTTTTTTAAAGATTTATTTAAAAACAAAAAACTGGTATATAGGCTGGGGGAGGGGGAGGTTGAGAAAATTTACCAGAGACAGAGTGGAGTACAGAACAGGAGGAATGACTGAAATACACTGATGAGGGGGGCAGGACAGGAGAGGTCTGCTACGTCATGTGAATCACCTCTCTGGCTCAGGATCGAACTCATGCCACAGTAGCTGAAGACAGCTTCATGGTGCTGTGCTTTTAACCCTTGTGCCACCAGGGAGGGCCCAAACTATCTGCTTTAAAAGTAGTTTGGGGTCCTCCCTGGTGGTGGAGGGGATTAAGTCAGCACTATGAAGCTATTGGCAGCCACTGCAGCATGAGTTCAATTTAAGCCAGATGGCACAGCAACCTCTCCTGCTTTGCCCACTGCTCCCCTCAGCAGTGTATGTCAGTCAGTCCGCCTGTTCTGCTCTTCACTCTGTCTCTGAATCCTCTTACACTCCACCCCTATCTGCACCTCTGGCCATCTGCAGTTCTTGTATGCAAAAATAAAATTGTAATTAATAAAAGTAGTTTGGAATTTGCCAAATGACTGCTATGATAATTGACACTATGTTAGAAGGGCCTAGCAGACAAGGTAGGATACTTTCAACATTCAAAAATCTTGGTTTTATAAAATTGTACTATCTCAGTTTTCCTTTATCACAGATCATCTGGGACATAATAGATTCTCATTCTTTCACATGCTGACCTAAGCCTCACTGTTTACATTCTTGATGCTTATCTTTTTGCTCAATTAAAGAATGCCTTCTTTTGGCTTCATTTGCCTTATACTTCTAGTTACACCATAGCTTGTTATGCCATCTTCCTGTAAACCCCATCAAGCCACATCAATCAAACCACTCTTCCTCACAAACTTAACCCAGATTTTACCACTTTTGGGGACCCCCATCATTGTGAATGTTCTTCTACTTCAACTGCAACAGATACATAGAGGAGCTAAAAACGAGAGGTGAGGGAGACCAGGTATATTCTTATTTGCCTCTATTAGGATCTCTGTTTCTCCACATTTAAGGCATTAATTAAGGATAGTGCATATAACCCAAAGTCTTTTCCACACATTTACTCTTTTCACTTCTAAAAAGAGTTGTCCTCTTCTAATTGCCTGCACATCCCTCAGTGGCACATCATGGTTATAGGAGGCAGCCAAGGCCCACCGTGAGGAGGTAGGGTTCTGCATCATCCAGGTGACTCTCCAGGAAGCGCAGCATCTTCTGCTGGAAGGTCTCATAGGAAAAGTTCTGGATAACAGGATGTGCCAAGTTCTTTTCACGGATAATGTTCAGGAGATCATTTCGCAGCTTCTATACAAAGGGGCAATAATTACAAAATGAAAAAGGAGAACTCTGGCAAAAATTCATGATGAACTGAGACAGTATCAAAACGTTCACAACGCTCTCAATGGAAACCACAACACTGGGGAATGGAAGCCCACCACAAAGAACAGATCAATGCTTTATGGATCGGCCACAGTGGGTTACTATCAACTATTAAAAAAATACATGAAGAACTCAGAATATAAAGTACCTTTTTACATTCATGTGAAGATTTTTAAACATTTCTGAAAAAGTTTCTTATGTGCTAATATAGCATGATATACTGTGGAAAAAGCTGTTTGCAAAATGTTCATATCAGTGTGTAAAAATATGCTCACCTATATGTATAGGAAGATAAGAAAAATAAATGTATGTGTGCGTCTATATATATATATACACATCCACACTTGCGTGCATAGATCCTTCTGAAAATATAAACAAAAATACTGGTTGCCTCTGAGAAGAGGAACAAGATGGATGAGTCAATGATAAGATGATTTCCATTAAATTCTTTTGTTGTATGCTCTGAATTTTGTACTATGCACATGTATGCATTACTTTTCAAGAGCCAAATTTAAATATATTAAAGAAAATTAGAGCAGGGTACCAACTGAGCTTTTAACACCAGAAAATAAAGGCATTAAGTTCCCACTAAGATAGATTCTCAAGTTTATAAAGGTCAACATTTATGTAAATAAAGTTAGAAATGTTATAAATTGTTAGTTTAAAACCTGGTGATAATCATTTAAATAAATATTATGTCACAAACCAGACTGACATGGCATCTAACAGTAAGTATCCTGCATATAAAAAACAACATGCAAAGGTGCTGACTATTAAAGGTGAGTATTTACGTAACATTCCTGACAACCTTTTCTGTATTTCCCCACAAAACACAATGAGATGGACTAAATCAAAAATCCATCAAATTTATCAAATTTACCTGAGTTGTAGGGTCCTTGGACATATGTTTTTTCAATATTTTTGAAGCCTTTTCAAATTCTTTGTTTTTGATACAAATAATGACAGCCTACAAAAGGGGGGAAAACCTTTTGTTAAACTGTTGTTAATAATAGCAGGTGTAATCAGAATATCAATATCAAAATTAACTCTACTAGAAAGTAAAACTGAATCTTACACACCCAAGAACCTTTTTATATTCTGTCCAATTCCTTTATTTAGAAGCTAACAATGATTGTTCAAGTAAACAGCCATTAGCTCTCTAGATTTTCAATACTACATTAGGTTAATAGGAAAAAATGACCTATGTAGCAAAATTTGATCCCCTGAAGTACAGCCCTTACAAGGAAAGGTAGAATGGGCAGGAGTTATTCCAGATTCCCGGTCCCCAGGACAACTGGTTGTATTATTTTTGAATGTGAACATCCTGACTATAGTGGAGGAGGGAGAGAGACGACCAGAGTTCTGCTGTTCCTTTCAGGAAAGGCCTAAGGAGAGCTCTGCAGGAGAACCAACATAGCCTCTCACTACCATACACCCAGCTGGCAATTCAAACCAGTGTGCAGGAAATTGTTAAGATGAATAAACCCAGCTTGTCTACAGGCAGAAAGAGGACAAAGTCCCAGGTAGAATGAGAAGTTCTCACCGGCCATAGAGAAAAAGAAAATTTTCAGTAAAGAAATTCCAAGAGAACAGATGCAGCAGGAACAGTGATTTAAAATTTAAAAAATTTAAAGGATATTCTGAAAATGTGTACAATTTTTAGCAATCATAAAAGCCAGGGGGAAACTGGGAGCTCTTGAATTATCAAGTAGGATAACTTTGTAACTTGAATTTTAGGATAACTTCAAAGAAAGGTGTAAGAAACACAAATGGAGAGAAAACTAGGCCATACACATTTTCAGTCTTCACAGGGAAGAATTTAAAAAGACATCAAAAGAGAGCCCTCCCTGATGGCACAGTGGGTTAAAGCACTGAGCACTATGAAGCCATCTACAGCCACTGTAGCATGAGTTTGATCCTGGGCCAGGGAGCTGGCCCACATGGCACAGCAGACCTCTTGCCCTGCCCACTGCTCCCCTCAGCAGCGTATTCCAATCAATCCGCCTGTTTTGTTCCCCACTCTATCTCTCATGAATCCTCTCACCTCCCACATTTCTGGCCTGTACCCCAGCTCTTATATGCATAAATATTTTTAAAAAGGATTTATTTATGCATAAACTGGGGTACAGGCCAGAGGTGCAGGGTGGTGAGAGGATTCACCAGCGACAGAGTGGAGCACAGAATAGGCAGACTGAGGAGGGGAACACTGCTGAGGGGAACAGTGGCAGGAGAAGAGAGGTCTGCTGCGCCATGTGGGTCACCTCCCTGGTGGCTAGGCTGGGGATTGAACTTGTGCTGAAGTGGCTGGGGTAGCTTTGTAGTGCTGCATTTTAACATGCTGTGCCACTAAGGAGGGCCCAAATAAATCTTTAAAACAAGAAAAGGAGGAACAGCACAGAATTCAAGTACTAACCTCAGTGATCCTGTATTCCCCATGCTGAGCACAGCTACACAGGTAAAGGGACCAGGTCAAATGTTCCTTATACCAAGCACTACTGTTAATTCTTGGGAAGGTACAAAGTCCATCTCACTTTAATCAGACTGCCATCTTCACTTTCACATTTCCAGCAGGAAAACTATACTGACTATTTAATACAAAAGTCTACCTTTTTATGTCATTAAGTCCTGTATTTTTAAGCTTTACTAAAATTTTAATTTTTAAATTAAAAACTAAAACTTAAAGGTTAGTAAAATTGATCTTTGTGGAATGTAATCTTCAGTTTGAATGCACATACTATCTGTAACGAGGATAGAATACCATGCATCCAAAAATCCTCTGTGTTGCCCTTCTCAACACCCTCTCCCCATTCCTAAACCCTGGTGAACCACTCTTCACTCGTTCATTTCCCATGTCATAGGGAATGCCATACTTATTTTTTAAAGGATGTAGCCTTCACACTGGTTTTCACTAAGCTTCTCCAATTCGTGGATATTGCAGCATATCTGTATTTCCTTATACTGAGCAGTATTCCACCATATGGATGGACGTTTACTCATATACGCATTGAAGGAATTTGGGGTGCTTGCAGTTTTTATTTACAAACAGAGATGCTAAAACTTTCATGTACTTTTTGGTGTGAACACAAGTTTTCATTTCTCTGTGGCAAATAGCAGTAGGATTTCTGGGTCAATAGAAAATGCATGTTTAACCTTCTATTAAAAAATAGCTAAACTGTTAATTCTTAAGTGGCATACCTGTTGGCCACATATGAATGTGAGACTTCCAGTTCCTCCATATCCTCATTAGTACATTAGTGTATTTTTAGATACTGACACATGTAAAATGTCTTAATATTCATTGCAACTTTAGTTTGTATTTACCTACTGACTAAATGATGTCAAGATTTTTTCATGTGCTCATTTGCCATATGTGTATGTTTTTGGTAGTCATTTACCCACTTTAAAAATAGGGCTGCCCCTCCCTGGTGGCATAGGGATTACTTCTTAGTACTATCACTGCTCTGGCCTGACTTCAATCCCTGGCGAGGGAGCTAACCTACCTATGGCTCATCAGACCTCTCCTGTCTTGCATGCTGCTCCCCTCAGCAATGTATTTCAGTAGATAAACCTATCCTGCTCTCCACTCAGTCTCTGGTGGGTCTTCTCACCCCCTCTACACTCCAGTGCTCCACAATATAAATACATGTGCTAAAAATAGGGCTGTTTTGACAGCTCATTCATTACATATTTTGGATCTAAGTCCCTTATCATTTTGTGGTATGTTCTTTTTTTTGCAAATACGTTCTTTCTTAGTCTATACCTTATCTTTTCATTGTCTGAAGTGTTTTCAAACATATTTGTATGAAGTCCATTTTATCAGTTTTTCCTCATAAATCATGTTTTTAGTGTCATATCTAAGAACTATTTTTAAATGGGGTGTAGACCAGAAGTAGAGGGGAATTCCTAGTGTCAGAGTGGGAAGCATAACAGGCAGATTGACTGAAATACACTGCTGAGGGGAGCAATGGGTGAGACAGCAGAGGTTCTGCTGTGTTGTATGTGGGTCAGCTCCCTGGCTGGGGATTGAACCAGAATGGTGACAGTGCTGAGACTTAACCCTTCCTTCACCAGGGAGCCCCGTAAGAAGTTTTTGCCTAAGTTTAAGATTTTTTTTCCTCTAAATTCCAACTGCTTTATAATTTACATTTAGATTGTGTGACCCATTTTGAATTAATTTTTGTATGAGGTTTTAATTTCTGTGGATGGCTATCCAACTGTTGTGGTTTCATTTGTTGAAGACTATTCTTTCCCCATTATATACCTTTTCTCCACTGAATTGCATTCACATTTTTGTCAAAAATCAACTAGTCATCTTTGTTTAGGTCTATTTCTGGACTCTTCTTCTGTTCTACAGAAGTATGCCTACAGTCATGAGCACCATAGCTTTATAATAATTCTTAATTGAGTAGTGAGTTCTCCAATTTTGTTCCTTTACAAAATTGTTCCAGTTATTTTAGTTCCTTTGCCTTTCCAAATGTATTTTAGAATCTGACGTTATCTACAGAAAATTCTGATCCAGTGACTGGAATTATATTAAATCTATAGATCAATTGGAGAAAATTGACATCTTAACTATATTTTCCAGTCCACGAGCATGGGCTTTGCAATTGTTAGGCCCTTCTTTGATCAGCATTTTGTATTTTTCCATGGATTCTGTACATACATTGCTAGACTTATATCCAAGGAGCAATTGTAAATGACACAGTTCCAGTAATTTTAAATTGTTCACTGCTAATATAAGGAAATAATTTTTTGCTTGGGGGCTTTGTATCCTACAATCTTGCTTCTTAATAGCTTTTCTATGTAGTCCATGGATATATATATATATATATTTATAGCTGTATTTCTTTCTCTATATATTTTAATTAATAGTTGTTTACAACATTGTATATAATTTGGGAGTATAGATTTATGCCTCTCCAGATGTATGTTATAACACCATTTCCACTAAAGCACTGATAATCCTTAACAATATTCCATGCTGCTCTCCCTGCCTTACCTGAATTCAGTTTTACAATCAGATTTCTAGAATTTGTTTAGGTTAGTTTTTCTGTTCGTTTTTCTGTATTCCAAATGAGTGAAATCATCTTTTTTTTTTTCTGTCTTTCTCCTTATGACTTATTTCTCTTAGCATCCTTCGGTTCCATTCATTCATTTTCTCCAAAATGGCAAGAGTGCATCTTTTTTTTTTTTTTTTTTTGAATCACTAAATATTTCATTGTGTATGCATATATCATCTTAATCTAACTCATCTGTAGTTGGGTACTTAGGTTGTTGTCCATCACTTTGCTCTTGTAAATAGTGTTGGCAGTGAACACAGAAATACATGTATCCATTCACATTAGTGTTTTTGAGTCTTTGGGCTAGACACCTACGAGTGAGATTGCTGGGTCTCAAGGTGGATATAATTTTTAAATTTTGAGAGATCTCCATGCTGTCTTTATAGGGGGCCGGCCCTGTCTACACTCTGAGCAAAAAGTTTCCCTTTTCTCCACACTCTTGCCGTTTGGTCTTTTTGATACAAGCCATTCTCAAAAGTATGCGGTGGCACCTCATTGTGGTTTTGATCTGCATTTCCCTAATGACAAGATATGAGCATTTTTGCATGTGCCTGTCGACCATCCATATATCTTCTTTAGAAAAATATCTACTTAGTTCTTCTGCCCATTTTTTAAATTGGATTGTTTTCTTTTTATTGATTTGTGTACAAATTCTTTGTAGTGCTTGGAGATTTGCCCTATCTGCCATTCCATGGGATTTTCTATAGATATAGCATATGCAAATAGGTACAATTTAATTCCTTTCTCTCCAGTCTGTTGCTTTTTTTTTCCCATTCTTGTTCTTTCTTTTTTTTTTGACCTACTGCATTTGCTAGGCCAATATGTTAAAGAATGGAGATGGTAAGATGCTTTGTTTTGTATCTTGGGAACAAAGCACTCCATCTTTACAATTAAGTAGGACAATGGCTGTTGGTTTTCTGTTGGTGCCTTTTATCAGTTTGAGAAAATTTCCTCAGGTTTGCTATTTTTATCATAAATTAATATTGGAAATTGAAAGCTGTCTAATGCTTTTTCTGGATCAACTTATATGATCATGTTTGTTTTTGTTTTCCTTTAGACTAGTAAAAGGGGACCTCAGTTTCCCTACTCTATCACACACTAACTACATCTGCATCCAGGGCTAAGGGACAGAATAGACAGTTAAAAAAAAAAGTAATGGAATTTTACCCTAAGTCCGGGGTGGGGCGGGGGTGGAGGGCAAAGGTGTTATAGCTCCGCTGCTAGAAAGGATAGGTGCTGCTTTCTTGCCCAGCAGTATAATACTGCCTGCCCACCCAAACACTTATCTCCCCCATGATAAAATAATCTTGATAAAAGCAAAATTTAAAAGAAGTGCATATAAAATCAAAGCTATAGACTCCATCAGAGTCTGAAACCTCTCTTGAAGAATCACTGTTATCAACAAACATAATTTATTGATGGAAACTTCATTTCAGTGTCAGGGGAGAGGCTTCCATTTCTGTCACTATAGGTGCCCTTGGATGAGAGCCTGAAGTTTTCCTGAAGGGTAATGCAGTACAGAAGAGAAGGGAGAAGGGGGCAGGGGGAAAGAACTGGGGTTTCTCCTGCCCTCTCCAACCTTAAGCGCTCTTTCCTTTTCCTCAGACCAGATGGAACTTTTCTTGGGGCTTTTTTTTTTCACACCTGGAGGACATTTCTAGGTTTCAGGAACCTTTAAGTCCAGGCTAGGTGATATCAGAAAGGGGAAAAAAATGTTGAATGAATACATTACTAGCTTGGTGGGCCTTCAAATTTTGGCTTTGCACCCATCTGCTTATTACCACTTAGAAGTTCCATGCAGTTGGTCCAGGACTGATACTTTCACTAAGAGAAAGAGTATGCTTACTCTGGCTTTCCTGAAATAGTCCTAGTATATTTAATTTGTGAAACAAGAAAGGAAAGGTGAATACTTTGAAATTATAATCATGTGCAATGAGCTTATGTTTTAAAACTGTGTATTAGTTTCTTGTGAAGTCCCTCCCCCCCCAAACAAATCACTTGGCACTTTTCAGAAATAAGTATAATTTCTTTTAAGCATCTGTTAAAGCTCTTAGTCTGTAAGCAATGGCAATAGTCTTGCTCATTTAAATAAAAAAAGAAGTTCCAAGCACAGACCTTCCATATAGGTAAGAGGTTTGTGTTGGGATAAAGCACAAAGGGAGAAAAAACCAAACTCATGAAGTAAAGACAGGCTAACAGAGCCAGCTCTGGAAGAATTCAGCCTGTTCTGAGCAGACAGAATGCTCAAAGCCATGACAAAGCTTTTTGTTTGAAGAAATAAAGTTCTAAGATGGTATGTCTAATGTACCAGCCCTGCAAATGGCTAAGCCCCAAAAGAAAATCAAGGTGCTGCTACAGAAGAGAAAAATGCTGCACAGCAAAAAGCAACAGATAACAGTGTCTGCAAGAACATGCCCCACATTCTTCTCTGTTCTCCAAAGCAAGCTGGTTTTTTTTTTAATTTATGAAGAGAAAACCAACAAAGTCTCAATATCAGTCATAACTTTAAGAAGCAGTGCTCAAAATTCCTTTATACTTCTCAAATGTTAAGGGAACCCCAAAGAGCTTTTGTTTATGTGAGTTATATCTGTTGTATTAGAAATATAAAACTGAGAAAATTTAAAAATATTTATTAATTCATTAAAAAGTAACAATAAACTCATTACAGATTAACACAGTAACATCTTTATGAAAAATTATTATATATTTTAAGACAAAAGTTTAATGAGGGAGGTGGCACTATATTACATTTTTGCAAATCTCCTTAATATCTGGCTTAATAGAAGAAAGGTGGATTCTAGTATCTGCTCTGCATTCATTTTGTGCTGATGTTGTTTTGAAGTAGATTAAAAAATCCAGCCTCGCACAGATACGAGTTGGAAAAGGGAGGAATATTTTAATAGCCCTCTCAGAAAATTGTGGCCATTCTTTGATTCTACACCAAATTTTGACAACTAAACTTTTCATAATCTGTTACCTTAAAGGCTACTAGTATATCCTGCACTTGAAATGGATCTTTCATCCATAATTTTATAATCTCATGCATTGATCTTATGGAAAATATTGGATCAGTAAGTTAATATAGCTTTCCCAAATGTTGACATATTCCTTAAAAATATTGTTTAAATCATAGTTAATATCACCACACCAATCTCATCAAAAAAGTCTAATAAAATACTGGGAAGCTACCAACCATATGAATACAAGTTTTCCAAAATTCTAAATTTTACTTGAAAACTTGAATTCTCTCACTACCAACAAATACTGTCCACTGTTTTCCATGAAGTGACAGTTTCACTTTGTTGCTTCTCAAGGAAATTACTTCAAAATACCAACAGCTGAATAACCAGTAAGTTCTGTCAAGTAAAAATGGTATTCCATTAAAAAAGCAGTTTAAACAGCATTCAGCTAAATCACACAAGTGCTTTTCCAGAGGACAACCACTGCCTAAGCAGAGATACTTCGGCAAAATTTCTATTGTATCACAACAATACTGAAAAGATGTTTGCTCAACATTCTAGACTTAATGAAATATTTTTTCACTATTCATCAAAGGTATTCTTAATTGAAACTGGCCTTTTTTCCCTGCAAGCACAGGCAGTGACGACTGTAATGACAACTAGTACAGCTTACCACGGGCATGAGCAATTTTACCCATTATTGCTTTTGCACTAATGTTCTGGCAACGTAATGAAAATAATTTGGACCCCTAAAAGACTCTGGAAACCTCTAGAGACTTCCAAGCCATACATGAGAAATTCTGATTTAATCAATAATTTACTGGTATACTTTAAAAAGTAAAATTCGTTTAAACAAGTTTTTGTGATACTTTATGAAGTTTAACAGTATCAAAAAGTCTCAGTGAGCCTAGGTATCACATATTTCCCAAGACTGACCATTAACAGGTTCTATGACTCTACGTGAGAAAATTTTAAAAGAAAATTGAAGAGACAAGTGGTACAGTATCATTTAATAACTAGGATATCAAGATAACTTTAGCTAGCCTGAAAAATAGCCCTCAAATCTCTCAACTTCCTGTGCAGTCCCATTTTACACACTTAATCCAAAGTTGGTGTCATCTGAGTAACCAACAGAATATGGCAGAAAGTGATGAGCACATTTTCTAGATTGGTTATAAAAGACCTATTTCTCTCCTTCTGTCTGGACTTTTGCTTTCTTGGATCACTTGTCTAAGGGGAAGCAAGTTACCAACGTACTTACCATATGGAGGGGTGAGGAACTGAAGTCTTCAGATAAGAGCTAGCAGTGAGTCCTTGGGATAGTTGGTTAAACAACAGTAACAATAATGCCTTGCTAATATGTCTTTTCAGGTATTTCTTACTTATACTAAAACAAATTTTTTTGAAATTATACTAAAAGTATTTTCTTGGAATTATTTATCCTTAAACTGAGTAATATCTAGGCATTCTTTGCAAGGCCAAAAGCAAGTGTCGATCCATGGTCCGTAACTGAATAAATAAATCTGTACCCCACATACTAGTTGTTTTTTAATGGTACCTGAGCACCAAGCATATAGGTAAGGCCAGAAAGTCTCTCTTGCTAATAAGCAAGGTTTTACCTCCCACCCTTTCAGCCCAGTTTGTGATCCCATTCCTTTAGAAAGAACCCTTTTCTTACCAGTTTTCCTTTCTTTCCACCAAGGCAATGCTAAGCTGTTTTTCTTCATCCCTCACCTGAGCATCTGCTTCCATACCCCCAACTTAAGTTATTGGAAAAGAAAGTTTTCCTGAACTGATTTCCATAGCCGCTTGTTTTAAATAAAGTTCTGCTACTTGAAGCTATCTGAACCATGACACAAATTCCTAGACACTTCACTAATTTTTTTCTTGTCAAGAACACTGCCGATGTCAGCCTGCTATCATTACTGTTTTTCTCACTGACTTAAACTCCCAGCACCACTGTGCTGTTCAAAGGAATGTTCCCTAAGCTTCTCTTTCTGTAGATAATTGCATGGCACAACTCTGTACCCCAAGGCCCCAGTTACTCTTAGTTTATTATAAACAAGGGTGACCAAACCCTAGGCCAGTTACATCTAGCACTTTCACAGTGAACCTGAACGGTGAATAACTCCCAAAACATTAGTCTTTAGTGCCACCTCATTCCTGCAACTGTGGCCCTCTAACCAAAATCACAATAGCTGGTACCTTCCATTAAGGATTCGAACTTTGAACTGGGAAGAGGTAGCCTGAAGAGATAATGTGGGACTCCATCCATTTTTCCACCACATCACACAGAAAAGTTAAGCACTGCATCGTGAAAGACCTTTGCTTTTAGTGATAATAAAAAAAAAGAAAGAAAGAAAGAAAGAAAAATAGAGCCTTACAGCCTCCTTGACCAGTTTTCTACTGGATTCGACCACTGCCTCTGTCAATGTAAATTCGGTTTTAATCATCTCCAGCACATTGATAGCTGATTCCAGTGGTGTGAGCTCAGCCTCCATATCAAAGGAACAGTCTAGGACAAAGAGCAGAGTTTTCACTTTAGGCTGTTTTCTAAGGAGTGGAAAATCTATGTTCAAATATGCATGTATTTTATCAAACACGCAAATATGGCAGTAAGATTTGTATTTAAATGGTGGACTAGCTACAGGTTTATAAGTATGCTAAAAGTTCCGACTCATTAATGAAGTTACTTATCTTCTAACATTTTAAAGGCAGGTTAAAGAAACATTTCTCTAGCACATGCATTTGAATCTCAAATTTCAGGATACACACATCCCCCTCAGATAGTCAGAAACTAAAGACAGTTTTGCTAAACACCTGTCAAGTTCAATTCAGGGGAAAAAATGTGCCTAAACTCTGAAAAATCACTCTACAATGGGAAAACAATGTCCATCTTAACTCACTTTATAAAGCACTGAAGTTGGGACGAGCAAGAAACAGGTGGGAGAGGGGGGTGAAAACACAACCAGCAAAACAGCCAAGAAAATCTTAAGTGGAGAAAAACACTAGAACCAGAGAAAGCATTTATCCTAGAAGACCGCTGTGATTAAAACATAGTACCGCACTTTTCAGATCCGGATCTAAGTTTGCAAACTACATAACCCTAAATAAGTAAGCTCAAAGAAGAACACAAAAATAGCCATACCTAAATTCTCCCCTTCTTCAATGCGTGACAGACACTGCATAACCCGCAGCAGCCGGGACACGGTATGTTCCTTCCCCAAGGGCCTGACAAGCAAAGCTGGGGAAGAAGACATCATTTGCTCCGCGACCCTCGATCCCGACCCCAGCACCCTGCATCCCCTTCCCAGGCGACCCAGCTTCCGTCCCCGGCCCGGCCCTCACCCTGCATGATGTCCCGGATCTGCCTGAAGTCCCCGTACCGGCTACCCCGAAAGGCCCGCAGCGCCTCGTGGAAGTAGAACTTGAGCACCCAGCGGTTGACCGCCTCTTCCAATCGGGCTTCCCCTACGCCCCGCTCTGCGGCGCCACCCAGCCCCGGCTCGTG